TTATTGTTTCCCTTCTACGTGGTGGTGACTTTACCGAAAAGAACCAAGAATATAGGTTGCAGTTTGTTCAAAATCGTGGCCTCCACGGTGGTGCCGACTGGAACAACCCCTTCAAGGTCCACATGACGACTCTGCGCTGCTGTTACCGCCACTGGCTCCCTGTTCCTAACCCCCCGCGATTGATTTCAAGAATCGTCTTGCTGCTACGCAAGGCCTTAAACGGACCTGCTCCTACCCGACTCTCCGTGACCTTCCCTTCGGCCGCGAATATTCCCCAGGGCATCACCGAGACCCTCGGTGTCACCACGGGCTCGAGGCATCGCACCTGCAGGGGCGGTGATGGTGGATTCGCAATTGCGACACCTGAATTGTGGCACTGCTTGGACCCGTCCAGGTCATGGGTGGGTGAGAGGGGGGTGAGGGTGGGGAGGGGGTGAGGGGTGAGGGTGGGGGGGGTGAGGGTGGGGGGGTGAGGGTGGGGGGGTGAGGGTGGGGGGGGTGGGGGGGTGAGGGTGGAGGGTGAGGGTGGGGGGGTGAGGGTGGGGGGGTGAGGGTGGGGGGTGAGGGTGGGGGGGGGTGGGGGGGTGAGGGTGGGGGGGTGAGGGTGGGGGGGTGAGGGTGGGGGTGAGGGTGGGGGGTGAGGGTGGGGGGTGAGGGTGGGGGGTGAGGGTGGGGGGTGAGGGTGGGGGGTGAGGGTGGGGGTGGGGGGGTGAGGGTGGGGGGGGTGAGGGTGGGGGGGGGTGAGGGTGAGGGGGGGGTGAGGGTGGGGGGGGTGAGGGTGGGGGGGGTGAGGGTGGGGGGGTGAGGGTGGGGGGGTGAGGGTGGGGGGGGTGAAGGTGGGGGGGGGTGACCATCAACGGCGTTTGTCTTCTCCGTCACCTCTCGACGAGGCCGCTTCCCACGTGGGGAGCTGCGTGACGCGGCGTGACGCGGCGTGACGCGGCGTGACGCGGCGTGACGCGGCGTGGCGCGTGCGTCAGCGCCACGGGAGAGACAAAGGCGTGCGGGCGTGCGGGCCGCGTGACCCCCACCCACCACCCACCCCGTTCCCGTGCGTCCCAGTGCCGGCCTTCACAGGGGGTGCTGCTGCCACTCGCTACTACGCACAGCACGTGCCCCAACAGCCTGCTACAGGCTACACGATCTCTGTCCTTGTGTGTCTGTGTGCGGGGAGCGGTGGTGCAGCGGTTAGCGCGCTCCGAAGCCGGCCGCCCGAGTTCGATTCCCGCTCACGGCCAACAACACCCAGTGACGATCATCAGAACCGGAGCTGGGCCTCATCCACTAGGTCGACTCAGCCTCAAGCGAGTACGTGGCGCGGTTGTGCATAAACGCCGCCAACTGGGGAGACAAAGGCGGCCGGGCGTGGTGGTTAACCACCCACCCTCTCGTGCGCCGTGCCGGCCTTCATACGTGCACTTGCCCCAGCAGTCGGTGAAGGCCATACGGGGAATCTTTGTCTCCGCATGCACGCGCGTGACTCCCTAATTGTGAAGGATGCAACACATTTGAGAGCGAGTCACGCCCCTGCTGAAAGGATGCTGATGATGCTGCTGCTGCTGCTGGCGCCTCAGCTGTGCGTGACCACATCGCCCCATCGTCACCACCCCCCCCCGCCCAAATGCCACGGGTGAAGAGGACCCATTGAAGGGAGCACGCGCGGCGAGAGGCAGAGGCGCAGCGCCTGCAATTGCCGGGACGATTGATGACCTGAGGTAGCTCGTGAAAGTCACCGAAGGTCGGAGTGGTCGACAGACGAGCGGTGTGACGGAGCGGTGTGACTGTGCGGTGTGACGGAGCGGTGTGACGGAGCGAGTGACGGAGCGAGCGACAGAGCGGAGTGACGGAGCGGTGTGACTGTGCGGTGTGACGGAGCGGTGTGACGGAGCGGTGTGACAGAGCGAGTGATACAGCGGTGTGATGGAGCGAGTGATAGAGCGGAGTGACGGAGCAGTGTGATGGAGCGGTGTGACGGAGCGATGTGACGGAGCGGAGTGACGGAGCGGTGTGACGGAGCGGTGTGACGGAGTGAGTGACGGAGCGGAGTGACGGAGCGGTGTGACAGAGCGATGTGACGGAGCGGAGTGACGGAGCGGAGTGACGGAGCGTGTGACGGAGCGGTGTGACGGAGTGAGTGACGGAGCGGAGTGACGGAGCGGAGTGATGGAGCAGTGTGATGGAGCGGTGTGACGGAGCGGAGTGACGGAGCGGAGTGACGGAGCGGTGTGACGGAGTGAGTGACGGAGCGGTGTGACGGAGCGATGTGACGGAGCGGAGTGACGGAGCGGAGTGACGGAGCGGTGTGACAGAGCGGTGTCACTGAGCGGTGTGACGGAGCGGAGTGACGGAGCAGTGTGACTGAGCGGTGTGACGGAGCGGAGTGACGGAGCAGTGTGATGGAGCGGTGTGACGGAGCGATGTGACGGAGCGGAGTGACGGGGCGGTGTGACAGAGCGGTGTGACGGAGTGAGTGACGGAGCGGAGTGACGGAGCAGTGTGATGGAGCGATGTGACGGAGCAGAGTGACGGGGCGGTGTGACGGTGCGGTGTGACGGAGTGAGTGACGGAGCGGAGTGACGGAGCGGTGTGACGGAGCGATGTGACGGAGCGGAGTGACGGAGCGGAGTGACGGAGCGGTGTGACGGAGCGGTGTGACGGAGTGAGTGACGGAGCGGAGTGACGGAGCGGAGTGATGGAGCAGTGTGATGGAGCGGTGTGACGGAGCGATGTGACGGAGCGGAGTGACGGGGCGGTGTGACGGAGCGGTGTGACGGAGCGGTGTGACGGAGTGAGTGACGGAGCGGAGTGACGGAGCGGAGTGATGGAGCAGTGTGATGGCGCGGGTGACGGAGCGATGTGACGGAGCGGAGTGACGGAGCGGAGTGACGGAGCGGTGTGACGGAGTGAGTGACGGAGCGGTGTGACGGAGCGGTGTGACAGAGCGGTGTGACTGAGCGGTGTGACGGAGCGGAGTGACGGAGCAGTGTGATGGAGCGGTGTGACGGAGCGGTGTGACAGAGTGGTGTGACGGAGCGGTGTGACGGAGCGGTGTGATGGAGCGAGCGACAGAGCGGTGTGACTGAGCGGTGTGACGGAGTGGAGTGACAGAGCAGAGTGATGGAGCGGTGTGACAGAGCGGTGTGACAGAGTGGTGTGACGGAGCGGTGTGACAGAGCGAGTGAAGGAGCGGTGTGACAGAGCGGTATGACGGAGCGAGCAACAGAGTGGTGTGACGGAGCGGTGTGACGGAGCGGTGTGACAGAGTTCGATTCCCGCTCACCGCCAACGCCAACCACCGCTGATGATTCATCTGAACCGGTCCTGGGCCTCCTGTCCCCCTAGGTCGACTCAGCCTCAAATGAGTACCTGGTGCGGTTCGCTATAAACGTCGCCACTGGGGGAGACAAAGGCGGCCGTGCGCGCCTTCAAAGATTGCTCCCTAACAGAACCCTGCTGCCTGTTAAGGCCAAACGGAAGATTCTTTGTATTGCCTTTTGTCATTTAAAGTGACTTCACTCACACACTCACACACACGCACGCACGCGCGCGCCGCTCTGAACAATAGGGATAAAGAATAGATCTCGTTTCATGAGCAGCGATTTCCCTGGCCCACCTATCGGCACGAAGCCTTACAAGTTGCAGCGTTTCTCTTCAATTCGACTCTTTTGTCTGCCTCGCGGGTGTCCGTGCGTAGCGAGATGCACACACACTCACGCACACAGGCATACAGGCACGCACACACACATACACAGGCACGCACAGGCACACACACACACACACACGCGCGCGCGCGCACAATCGCAAAGATAAAGACAAAGATCCCCCGTATAGCCTGAACAGACCGTGGGTGTGTGGGTGGGTGGCCAGCTGTACGCCAGGTCGTCTTTGTTTTCACACACACACGCACACACACACACCAACACAGGCACGCACAGACAGGCACGCACCCACACACAGACACACACATACAGGCACACACACCCAGACACACGCACACACACAGGCACACACACAGGCACACACGCACAGGCACACACACACAGGCACACAGGCACGCACAGACAGGCACGCACACACACACACAGGCACGCACAGACAGGCACGCACACACACACAGACACACGCACACACACACGCAAACACACACACCAACACAGGCACGCACAGACAGGCACGCACACACACAGACACACGCACACACACAGGCACACGCACAGGCACACACAGGCACACACAGGCACACACACACAGGCACACACGCACAGGCACGCACAGGCACGCACACACACACAGGCACACACAGGCACGCACAGGCACACAGGCACACACAGGCACACACAAAACAAAGCTCCCCCATATAGCCTTAACAGACTGTAGAGGCAAGTGCTGTTAGCGAGCACCTATGAAGGCCGGAACGGTACACGAGGGGGTTGGTGGCCGGCACCACGCCCGACCGCCTTTGTCTCCCCAGTGGCGATGTTTACACACCGAACCAGGTACTCACTTGAGGCCGAGTTGACCTAAGGGAGGCCCGGGACCGGTTCAGATAATCGTCGCTGGTGTTGGCCGTGAGCGGAAATCGAACCCGGGTCGCCAGGTTCATAGCGCAGCGTAGCGCTAACCGCTACACTATCGCTCCCCATTACAGGCACACACACGCACACACACACACAGGCACACACACACATACGCACACAGCCACCCACACAAACACACAGGCACACACACAGGCACACACACACAGGCACACACACACAGGCACGCACACACACACACGCACACACACACAGGCACACACACAGACACACACACACACACATACGCACACAGCCACCCACACAAACACACAGGCGCACACACACAGGCACAAACACGCACAGGCACAGGCACACACAGGCACACACACACACACAGGCAGAGGCACACACAGGCACACACACACACAAACACACAGGCACACACACGCGCACACACACACACGCACGCACACAGCCACCCACACAAACACACGCGCGCCCACCACACCCTGCCGCACATCCTCCCCCCATTGTATCAGCCAGACATATAAGCCGCCTACCTGAGCCGTGATCTCTCAACCCACGGAACGGATAGCTCACGCACAGCTTCGCTGTCCGACCCCATCACGCAATCAACTGCAGCAGTGATCAACACGGACACAAGTCCCTCACTCGGCTGACTCAAGCCGCACACATCCAGACACACCGCGCTCGTAACAGACACGGACACCACCCCCACCGCTCCGTTCATTCGACGTCGCTCGACCCGAAGATAACAAAGATGGGAAGATCAACGTTAGTCCTGACAGTGGCGTTGGCAGTGCTTTATCTTGTTGCGTAAGTACCGGCAACCTCTCTCCTTTGCTTCTGCACGTGGTGTTGTTGTGTGCGTTGCACGTGGTGGTGGTGTTGTGTGCGTTGCACGTGGTGGTGGTGTTGTGTGCGTTGCACGTGGTGATATTGTGTGCGTTGCACGTGGTGGTGTATGCGTGGCACGTGGTGTTGTGTGCGTTGCACGTGCCACTAAGAGGTGGGGCCTTACCATCAACCCCACCAAAACTAAGCACCTGCCTGGGTATTTTGTACCATTGGACACTCCACCCCCACAACTCCCAATCGGTGATGGGCCAGTTGTGGAGAGAGTGGAGAGTTTCCCATACCTGGGCAGTGTGCTCATGACCGGCTCCAGTTTAACAGCAGAGGTCTCACTTCGAATCAGTCGAGCGGCAATATCTTTTCATCGGTTGCGTAACGCTGTGTGGAAGCTACCTGGTCTGTCGCTCCGCACGAAGCTTCAGGTTTAACCAGGCTGGATTGTGTGAGGAGCTCACAAATATTGGGCAAAGTTCCATCGGTGAGCTCCTCCGGCAGGCAAGGCTGCGTTGGCTGGGTCACGTAGCCCGCATGCCCAGCCACCGCATGCCGAAACAGCTATTGTTCGGCCGGATCGAGGGGGCTAAACGGGCGCAGCACGGGCTAGAGAGGAGATGGAGTGATGTGGTACAGGAGGACGTGGAGCTGAGTGGACTTGCCGATGACTGGTACCAGCGGTGTCAAGATCGGCCTCAGTGGAGGAGGCTCGTGAAGGATGCTACTGGGCAGTTGGAGGCAGTCGCCCTCCAACAACAACGGAAGGCGAGCGGAGCGCCGGGTGGCTAAAGCACAGCAAGTTGGCACAGTAGGGGGCACAGGTGGTGCATCAGCCAGTCATCTCAGTCATCTCAGTCAGTCGACCCGTGGCACCTGGGTCTGCCCGGTGACCTCCTGCCAGCGGGCGTTCGACACTTCACGTGGCCTCAAGGTGCACATGGCCTGGCACAAGCGTCGTGGTGACGTCACCGCCACTTAGTGGCGAATGGCGGTTGTTGTTACACGTGGTGTTGTATGCGTTACACGTGGTGTTGTATGCGTTGCACGTGGTGGTGTATGCGTTGCACGTGGTGTTGTATGCGTTGCACGTGGTGTTGTATGCGTTGCACGTGGTGTTGTGTGCGTTGCACGTGGTGTTGTGTGCGTTGCAACGTGCGCGTGTTGAACTTCTTTCGCGCCGTACGGAGCACAACCGTGCCGATCGGAGGTGCGGTGGGTGGTCAACAAACTTCAGCGGTGGAGCGGTGGCGCAGCGGTTAGCGCCACGCTGCGCCTCGAAACCCGCTGACCCGAGCCTCGATTCCCGCTCACGGCCAACGCCACCGGTGGCGATTATCTGAACCGCTACCGGGCCGGCCCCTAGGTCCACTCAGCCTCAAATGATTACCTGGTGCGGCGTGTGAGAACATCGGCGCTGGGGGGAGACAAAGGCGGCCGGGCGTGGTTGCTGGCCACCCACCCCCTCGTGTGCCACCGTGCCGGCCTTCACAGGTGCTGCTACTCGCTAACAGCGCTTGCCCCAACAGCCTGTTACAGGCTACACGGGGGATCTTTGCGTCTCTTGCTGCATGTTACGTTGAACTTCTTTCGCGCCGTACGTAGTCCAACCGTGCTAGTCGGAGGCGCGGGGTGAAGGGCAAGACGCTTCAGCGGGGAGCGGTGGCGCAGCGGTTAGCGCACTGCGCTACGAACCCGTTGACCCGAGTTCGAAGTCCCGCTCCCATGAGCAGCACCAGTGACGATGATCTGAATCGGTCCGGGGCCTCCCCTAGGACCACTCACACATTTTGAATCGGCGTCGTCCGTTTTAGGGTGATTTCGCTGCAGCCGTGATGTTGAGCGGCTCTCATTTGTGATCGCCAGGGTATCTGCATTTTTAAAAGAGTTACACAACTCAGTGGAGCCTTACCTGGTAGTAATCTAAAATATGCGGGGGTTATGGCATCATTTAGCTGTCAGAAACTTGGTAAACCAGGGTAGTCATCAGTCTACAAAAGTAGTCAAATGTGTCGTTAAATCTGGCACAGACAATCAGTAAGGGGTTTGTCACGTGAACAAAACGTGGCCAATTCGTTACTAGTACAGCACTAACCGGTTGTGTGGTTTGGAGAGTAAACCCACTGCAACATTTAGAATTAATGTGTGTAGTGTATAGTGTAGTCTATAGTATAGTGTAGTCTATAGTAGTGTATAGTGTAGTGTATAGTATAGTGTAGTCTATAATGTAGTGTATAGTGTAGTGTATAGTGTAGTGTTTAGTGGTAGTGTATAGTGTAGTGTACTAGTACAGCAGTAACCGGTTTTGTGGTTGGAGAATAAACCCACTACAACATTTACAATTATAGTGTAGTGTATAGTGTATTGTGTAGTGTATAGTATAGTAGTGTATAGTAGTGTATAGTGTAGTGTATAGTAGTGTATAGTGGAGTGTATAGTGTAGTTTACAGCGTAGTGTATAGTAGTGTATAGTGTAGTGTATAGTAGTGTATAGTGTAGTGTATAGTTTAGTGTATAGCAGTGTATATTGTAGTGTATAGTGTAGTGTATAGCGTAGTGTATAGTAGTGTATAGTGTAGTGGATAGTGTAGTGTATAGTAGTGTATAGTGTAGTGTAGTGTGTAGTGTAGTGTATAGTAGTGTATAGTGTAGTGTATAGTGTATTGTATAGTGTAGTGTGTAGTGTAGTGTATAGTAGTGTATAGTGTAGTGTATAGTGTAGTGTATAATGTAGTGTATAGTAGTGTATGGTGCAGTGTATAGTGTAGTGTATAGTGTAGTATATAGTAGTGTATAGTGAAGTGTATAGTGTAGTATACTAGTTCAGCACTAGCAGGTTGTGTGTTGGAGAGTAAACCCACTGCAACATTTACAATTATAGTGTAGTGTATAGTAGTGTATAGTGTAGTGTATAGTGTAATGTATAGTAGTGTATAGTGTAGTGTATAGTAGTGTATAGTGAAGTGTATAGCGTAGTGTATACTGTAGTGTATAGTGCAGTGTACTAGTTCAGCACTAACAGGTTGTGTGTTGGAGAGTAAACCCACTGCAACATTTACAATTATAATGTAGTATATAGTAGTGTATAGTGAAGTGTATAGCGTAGTGTTGAGTGAAGTGTATAGTGTAGTGTATAATGTAGTGTATAATGTAGTGTATAGTAGTGTGTAGTGTAGTGTGTAGTGTAGTGTATAATGCAGTGTACTAGTTCAGCACTAGCAGTTTGAGTATTGGAGAGTAAACCCACTGCAACATTTTACACATTTGAGAAGCCGTGACGAATCAACAACCAGCTCCATCAGGCGATTTGCCAGAATTACGGAGAAGTCCTCCTGTTGTTGTCGAGGTGTTACGACTCGTTTTGTCGACTGCTGCCCTCTGACAGCTGCCAACCTTACGCCCCTTACTTGACATCTGTGAAGAGAAGAGCTTCATAGCTCATCGGATTTTTTTGCAGGCATAAATACAAATTCTGACTCTAATTGTTGTCGTTGTTGTTGTTGTTGTTGTCCCTCCGCAGGCCGACAGAAGGCCAACTCCGACCTGATGGGTGAGTGTCGCGTCAACCACCTTGTGTCCTCGTACACAACTCACAGTCCACACTCAATACTGCCACTCATAGACTCAACACTGCCACTCATAGACTCAACACTGCACCATAGACTCAACACTGCCACTCATAGACTCAACACTGCACCATAGACTCAACACTGCACCATAGACTCAACACTGCACCATAGACTCAACACTGCCACTCATAGACTCAACACTGCTCATAGACTCAACACTGCACTATAGACTCAACACTGCACCATAGACTCAACACTGCACCATAGACTCAACACTGCACCATAGACTCAACACTGCACCATAGACTCAACACTGCACCATAGACTCAACACTGCACCAAAGACTCAAAACTGCACCAAAGACTCAACACTGCCACTCATAGACTCAACACTGACACTCATAGACTCAACACTGCACTATAGACTCAACACTGCACCATAGACTCAACACTGCACCATAGACTCAACACTGCACCATAGACTCAACACTGCACCATAGACTCAACACTGCACCAAAGACTCAAAACTGCACCAAAGACTCAACACTGCCACTCATAGACTCAACACTGCCACTCATAGACTCAACACTGCACCATAGACTCAACACTGCCACTCATAGACTCAACACTGCACCATAGACTCAACACTGCTCATAGACTCAACACTGCACCATAGACTCAACACTGCCACTCATAGACTCAACACTGCCACTCATAGACTCAACACTGCACCATAGACTCAACACTGCCACTCATAGACTCAACACTGCACCATAGACTCAACACTGCATCATAGACTCAACACTGCCACTCATAGACTCAACGCTGCCACTCATAGACTCAACACTGCACCATAGACTCAACACTGCATCATAGACTCAACACTGCTCATAGACTCAACACTGCCACTCATAGACTCAACACTGCACCATAGACTCGACACTGCCACTCATAGACTCAACACTGCTCATAGACTCAGCACTGCCACTCATAGACTCAACACTGCACCATAGACTCAACACTGCCACTCATATACTCAACACTGCTCATAGACTCAGCACTGCCACTCATAGATTCAGCACTGCCACTCATAGACTCAACACTGCACCATAGACTCAACACTGCCACTCATAGACTCAACACTGCCACTCATAGACTCAACACTGCACCATAGACTCAACACTGCTCATAGACTCAACACTGCCACTCATAGACTCATCACTGCTCATATGCTCAACACTGCACCATAGACTCAACACTGCCACTCATAGACTCAACACTGCACCATAGACTCAACACTGCCACTCATAGACTCAACACTGCTTTCTCTGTGTGTCTGTGTCTCTTTCTCTCTACGTACGAGTGTGTTCTCTCTTTCTCTGTCTCTCTTTCTCTGTGTGTGTCTCTCTACGTACGAGTGTGTGTCTCTCTTTCTCTGTGTATCTTTCTCTCTACGTACGAGTGTGTGTCTCTCTTTCTGTGTATCTCTCTTTCTCTCTGTGTCTCTCTTTCTCTGTGTGTGTCTCTCTACGTATGAGTGTGTGTCTCTCTTTCTCTGTGTATCTTCCTCTCTACGTACGAGTGTGTGTCTCTCTTTTTCTCTGTGTGTGTGTCTCTCTTTCTCTCTACGTACGACGTATATAACATTACAATTAAGATTTAGATTAAAAGGTAACGCACGATCATGGGGGAGGGGGGGGGGGAGTCCTTGTCTTACGATGGGCACCGGACCCCGGCTGTGTTCGCTGGGGTCTCGCTCGCTGCTCTTGCAGCCGGCTCCAGAGGCCGTGAGGGTCCCGGTTCGAAGCGGCCGCCCTGGTTAATACCGCAACGTCGCGTCTGACCGCCCGGCACTAAACCCGTTAGACAGATGGGGGAGGGAGGGGGGGGGGGTTGTATTTTTAAGTCAGGCGAATAATAATAAAAATAATGACACAGATTGTGAGCGATGAATCATTTTGGAATATATGATTAAGAAAAATAAATGATAATAAGTAATTAAGATAGAAAATAAACAGCATGCCGTGATACAAATGAATGAAAAATAAATAAAGGGTAATAACGGGTAAGTGTTAAATAAGTCGTGAAAGTGAATAGCGGGGGAAAATATAAAAGATCCGGCGCATGTTCTGAAAAAAAAATATATTAAAAAATATATCTATTGATAAATACATTAAGCAATATATTTACAAATATATTTATCGATATACATATTTATTTTGAATATAAAGAAGCATTTATATCGATATATTCTTAAATACATGTATATATGTATGTATATTTATGCATGTAAATAAATATGTTAAACATACATAAATTAAAATATACATGTAGATGTAAATATATATTTATCAATAAATGTACACCTAAATATATCTACATAAATGCTTATATAGATATATATGCATATTTATTTATGTAAATATATCTATTAAAATATCTCTAGATTTACGTGTCTATGTAAGATATTAATATAGGTTAAATATTTAAATATATGTATTGATCCATAAATATATATAAACATATATATATAAATTTATTTCAATATATGGAATATATATTTACATATACATTTATAAACATATATGTAAATATATATTTATATTTATAAATATATCTATAAATATATATTTACATATGCATTTATCAATATATGTTTACATATATATTTGTAAATATACATTTATAAACATATAAATATATATTTATAAATATGCATTTATATATGTATACATATATATGTACATAATGATAAGAATGTATGCAAATATATTTATTTCGGTAACGTCACGGAGATAGAAAAAAATAATCATAAAAAATAAAAATAATAACTAAAAATAAAGTGATGAAAAACGTTTCGATCACAACACAAGCGGTCGTCATCAGGAACATTCATAAACATATATATATAAAGGGACATTTATGTGTTGCGAATGAAAAGTCGTGATGTTTTTAATCACTTTATTTGTATTTAATTTTTTTATACCTACGTGACTTTACCGGGATAGCCGTCGAATGTGAATTACTGCAGCCACGAAAGTTTTAAAGTCAAAATGGATGTTTCTATTTGTTACGCTTCTATTTACGTGCACAATCGCACCCGGAAATTGCTCGGCGGGGTTTGCACCACTCCACCCACACCACTCCACCCACACCGCTCCACCCACACAGCTCCACCCACACCACTCCACCCACACCACTCCACCCACACCGCTCCACCCACGCCACTCCACCCACACCACTCCACCCACACCGCTCCACCCACACCGCTCCACCCATACCACTCCACCCACACCGCTCCACCCGCACCGCCCCACCCGCACCGCTCCACCCGCACCGCTCCACCCACACCGCTCCACCCACACCGCTCCACCCACACCGCTCCACCCACACCGCTCCACCCACACCGCTCCACCCACACCGCTCCACCCACACCGATCCACCCACACCGCTCCACCCACACAGCTTCACCCGCACCGCTCCACCCGCACCGCTCCACCCACACCGCTCCACCCACACAGCTCCACCCACACCACTCCACCCACACCACTCCACCCACACCGCTCCACCCACGCCACTCCACCCACACCACTCCACCAACACCGCTCCACCCACACCGCTCCACCCATACCGCTCCACCGCCACCGCTCCACCCACACCGCTCCACCCACACCACTCCACCCACACCGCTCCACCCACACCGCTCCACCCAGACCGCTCCACCGCCACCGCTCCACCCCCACCGCTCCACCCGCACCTCTCCACCAGTGAGAAGCCTTTGGCCACGACCTCCTCCCTCTTTGCCATCGAGTCTTAGCGGGGATTTGCTGAGCGACCAAGTGAGGTTTTGCTGTTGTTGTACCTAAGTGAGGATTTCCTGGGGGCGAGCAGACATAATAACAACAACCACGATACTCGCAATAATACACCATAAGTACGATAATATTACTACTATTTGTAAAACATTTTCTATTTTAGCATATAAGGCCCCACGGAGTTATGTTGCCATTCTTCAGACGCGATCCCCTGGGCTATCGCTAATGATAGCAGTTTCACGGAAGTGGCTTGGGTTTTTGGTTTTGATCAGCACCACGTGGGGATTTATGTCAGCAGCCGACTTACTCTTCAACGCGTGGGTGACGTTGATGCTAAACGTGGACGCCGGGAGGAGGAGGAGGGGGGGGAGGTGGGGGCGTGCGAAAAGCGGAGGGCCGGGAGAAAAATCCACGCGACCACGGGGAGAGAGGGGCGGGGGGGTAGAGGGGGGGATAGAGAGAGAGGGGGGGGGGGTAGAGAGAAAGGGTAGAGAGAGAGAGGGGGGGTAGAGAGAGAGGGTAGAGAGAGGGGGGTAGAGGGGGTAGAGAGAGAGAGGGTAGAGAGAGAGAGGGGGGTAGAGAGAGAGGGTAGAAAGAGGGGGGTAGAGGGGGTAGAGAGAAAGGGGGGGTAGAGAGAGAGGGGGTAGAGAGAGAGGGGGGTAGAGAGAGAGAAGGTAGAGAGAGAGGGGGTAGAGAGAGAGAGAGAGAGGGGGTAGAGAGGGGGGGGGTAGAGAGAGAGGGGGTAGAGAGAGAGGGGGGTAGAGAGAGAGGGGGTAGAGAGAGAGAGAGGGGGTAGAGAGAGAGGGGGGTAGAGAGAGAGAGAGGGGTAGGTAGAGAGAGAGAGGTAGAGAGAGAGGGGGTAGAGAGAGGGGGTAGAGAGAGAGGGGGTAGAGAGAGAGAGGGGGGTAGATAGAGAGGGGGTAGAGAGAGAGGGGGGTAGAGAGAGAGAGGGGGTAGAGAGAGGGTAGATAGAGAGAGGGTAGATAGAGAGAGAGGGGGTAGAGAGGGGGGGGGGGTAGAGAGAGAGGGGGGTAGAGAGAGAGGGGGGTAGAGAGAGAGGGGGGTAGAGAGAGAGGGAGAGAGAGGGGGTAGAGAGAGGGGGTAGAGAGGGGGGTAGGTAGAGAGAGAGAGGGGGTAGAGAGAGAGGGGTAGGTAGAGAGAGAGAGGGGTAGAGAGAGAGAGAAGGAATGAGTAAGGAGAGCAGAGCGTGAAATCTTTCATTTAAATATTGTTGGGTGGGTGTGGGTGGGTGGGGGTGGTGTTTACATGAAGCAAAGCGTTCTACTAAGAACCGAAGTGACGAACGAAGCAAAGTCCCGGCTACAGCGAGCATCTTCTTGTTTACTCTCATCGTTAACGAGAGAGACAGAGAGAGAGAGAGACAGAGAGACAGACAGAGAGAGAGAGACAGAGAGAGAGACAGAGAGACAGACAGAGAGACAGAGAGACAGAGACAGAGAGACGCAGACTCCACAGCAGCAGCAGCAGGCGTCAGGGTTGTGTATCGAACCGTCGGCCTCCCGCTGTATACCAGGCGAGGTAGTCAACATCTCCTACAGGCACCAGCCTCGGCGCGGACCTTCCCCGGCGTTGATCAGAAACACCTCGCAGCAATCCTTGAACGAGCGGAGGGACGAGTGGAGCCGTCCATAAATGACGTCACGCACCTAGGAGGGGGGGGGGGGGGGTTGGGGGTTGTTGAGATATGTGACGTCACATCAATATGGGCAAATTTAACACGTAGGCTTTCGCGACCAATAGTATTCATAATGAAGGTGTTTGGGTTAGATCGCGTTATTTATAAATGTGTTGTAACCCTCCACCACCCGACACGGCCAATCAGCAACTTTAAAAATAAATATAGACGACACGTTCTATACTTAATCAAATAGACTTTGTTAATAAATGTTTTCTACCTACAACATCAGAGTGCAGCAGCGCCACATTAAATACGCAACTACAATGACAGCAATAGTTTACAGCGATTTGAAGCATGTTTTATAATTTTTCGTTGGGGGGGGGGCAGAGCTTTGTGACGTTATATTTGAGGGGGGGTCTGAGTTTTTGTGACGTCACGTGACGATGGGGAGGGGGGGTGGAGTCAAAAATCGTCCAAACTCGCGTGACGTCATTTATGGACGGCCCCTTTGCACACACGTCATGGCACGATCTTGCTGAAGAGATTTGTGCATTAGTGGGGACGGCTGGGGGGGGGGGGTTAGACCCTGGTGATGAAGATTCCTGAGGTTTCATCCTGTACATGTGTGTCCGTGTGTGTACGTGTGTGTGTGTGTGTACGTGTGTGTGTGTGTGTCCGTGTGTGTACGTGTGTGTGTGTGTGTCCGTGTGTGTGTGTGTCCGTGTGTGTGTACGTGTGTGTGTGTCCGTGTGTGTGTACGTGTGTGTCAGTGTGTGTGTGTGTCAGTGTGTGTCCGTGTGTGTGTGTACGTGTGTGTGTGTCCGTGTGTGTGTGTGTCCGTGTGTGTGTGTGCCCGTGTGTGTGTGTGTGTCCGTGTGTGTGTGTCCGTGTGTCCGTGTGTGTGTGTCCGTGTATGTGTGTGTCCGTGTGTGTGTGTCCATGTGTGTGTGTGTCCGTGTGTACGTTGAACTTCTTTCGCACAACCATCATCGCACGTATCCAACCGTGCTAATGGGAGGTGAGGGGTGAAGGACAACACAGTAAACAACAACAACAACAAAGTAAACAACAACAACAACAAGCAGCAGTTGTCAATAAATTAGTTCGTCATCTAGACGACGATTTTAAAGTGCAGCACAGCTCCCGGTAGGCTTCCGATTATCGGAAGGGAAGAACGTTCCAGACGGCCGTCTGCGGGCCTTCGGATGCGTCCCCGACAAGTGAAGGGCGCGTTTGACGTCACGGATGGAGTTCCACACTCCTCTCTTAAGTTGTTGTTGATGTTGTTGTTGATGTTGTTGTTGATGTTGTTGTTGTTGATGTTGTTGTTGACGTTGTTGATGTTTTTGCGGCCGCACGCTTGGCTCTCGAGGTGTCACGTGTCTCGACATCCGTCACTGCGCCACGTCAGCCAGACGGAGGGAGGTTTATTTGCATGCCAAAAAAAATATTTTCGGAAAAAAAGACAAACGCGCACACAGACACACACACAGACAAACACACAGACACAGACACACACACAGACACGCACACAGACAAACACACAGACACACACACACAGACACGCACACAGACACACACACATACACACAGACACACACAGAGACACACACACACAGATATACACACACAGACACAGACGCACACACACATACACGCACACACGCGCGCACACACAGACACACGCACGCGCACACACAGACACACACACACTGATATACACAGACAAACACAGAAACACACAGACACACACACAGACACACACGCACACAGAGACAATCAAACTCGGAATAGTTTCGTGCCTCGCGTTTATGAGGATTTTGTTTAAACCTTTAACGCACAATGTGTGTGTGTGCGCGTTTTCTAAAGGGAGAGAGAGAGAGAGAAACATCTCTTAGTGTGTATGTGTGTGTGTGTTTTCACACGCACACATTTTTCTCTAATCGTGACTGTCGCGAGCAAACGGCTCGGGTACTCTTTTGCATCGTCACCGCGACTGACTGATGACGAGGTCATTCGCATTCTCGAAGATTGCAGCTCCTCGTGAACTCACCAACTCACTCACCCACTCGCTAACTCACACACACACGTGTCCACTAGTTCATTCAGCAACTCACTTATCCATCCACCCACTCACCCACTCACTAACTCACACACACACGTGCCCACTAGCTCACTCAGCAACTCACTCATCAACCCACCCACTCGCTAACTCACTCCCACACGTATCCACTAACTCACTCAGAAACTCACTCATCCACCCATCCACCCACCCACTCGCTAACTCACTCACACACGTATCCACTAACTCACTCAGCAACTCACTCATCCACCCACCTACTCACCCACTCGCTAACTCACTCACACACGTGTCCACTAGCTCACTCAGCAACTCACTCATCCACCCACCCACCCACTCGCTAACTCGCTCCCACACGTATCCACTATCTCACTCATTCACCAACCCACTCACCCACTCGCTAATTCACTCACACACATATCCACTAACTCACTTACTCACCAACTTACTCACTCACCAAACCGCTCACCTACCCATCCACTCGTTAATTCACACACACACATATCCACCTACTCACTCACCAACTAGCGCACTCATTCACCCAACCGCTCACTTACGCACCCACCCCTGCACGCTGGCATGCAGGAAGATACGAACACCCGCACTTACGAACACCCGCACTTACGAACACCCGACTTACGAACACCCGCACTTACGAACGAACCCGCTGGAAGTCGGCAACCTGCTTTTAACCGCCGGACTTGCTGAACGTTCGGTCACACGTGCGAACCGAGCCGTGGGAAAAAAAAAACAAAAACGTTTTCACTGTTCGGCGGAGCGGTGTATTCGCGAGACGTGATGAGACCCAAAATCCTTGCGGCAGGACTCGAAGTAAGTGAAAACAACCCGATCTCTTTTTTTCCTTTTACTCCTTACGTTGCGTTGAGCATTACACCACGCCGTGACGTGCGAATGTGAAACACGTTTGATTCCTCAGCAATGGCTTTTGCCCTTCCTTTGTCGAACCCTGGAAACACTGGCCGACATGCGTACACGCGATCCAACCTCACGAAGGGGGGCCCTTGGGGAAACAAATTTAAACGCAACCCGTTGCGTAAGTCGAGGCCTGCCCCCCCCTCTCCTCCCCGGCCACCACCACCACCACCACCCCGTGTGACGATGTGACCACGTGCCCTCTTTGTCCGTGCCCCCAACCCCCACCCCGGCCTCCTCTTCCGCAGGATTGGAGTCTGCTCTGAGAAGATCACCAAAATCCAGGCCTACATCTCCTACTACAAGAACGCTCAGCTCGTGTGAGTTGACCGCTGGTCGGAGGGGAACATTCACAATTTTAGTAGTACGACATTTCGCTGGTAATTATATCCAGCATCATCGGGCGTTTTGTTAACGTGACAAATCCCTTACTAATTGTCTGTGTTTGGGTGGTGGAGGGTTACGTCAACAGCATTCATTGCCCTCGCGATCTAACCCAACAAACCTTCATTATGAATAATATTGTTTACTCTCTGCCCTCCGTTGCCATCTGCAGGACAACATCGAAGCTCAGCTACCGCGTGGTCCAGATCACGCAGTACGTGTGCTGCCCGGGATGGCTCGTCAGTGGTGACGAGTGTCCTATCTGTAAGCGAGCCGTTTTTTTGTGGGGTTTTTTTGGCTTTGAGGGGCAGGCTTTCCATTCTAAACGTTCCGAGAGACCCATAGACTCGCTCAGAGACCCATAGACTCACTCAGAGACCCATAGACTAACTCAGAGACCCATAGACTCACTCAGAGACCCATAGACTCACTCAGAGACCCATAGACTCACTCAGAGACGCATAGACTCACTCAGAGACCCATAGACTCACTCAGAGACCCACAGACTCACTCAGAGACGCATGGACTCACTCAGAGACCCATAAACTCACTCAGAGACCCATAAACTCACGCAGAGACCCATAGACTCACTCAGAGACCCATAGACTAACTCAGAGACCCATAGACTCACTCAGAGACCCATAGACTCACTCAGAGACCCATAGACTCACTCAGAGACGCATAGACTCACTCAGAGACCCATAGACTCACTCAGAGACCCACAGACTCACTCAGAGACCCATTGACTCACTCAGAGACCCATAGCCTCACTCAGAGACCCATGACTCACTCAGAGACCCATAGACTCACACAGAGACCCGTAGACTCGCTCAGAAAACCCATCGACTCACTCAAAGACCCGTAGACTCGCGCAGAGACCCATAGACTCACTCAGAGACTCATAGACTCACTCAGAGACCGGTAGACTCATGCAGAGACCCATTGACTCACTCAGAGACCCATAGACTCACTAAGAGACGCATAGACTCACTCAGAGACCCATAGACTCACTCAGGGACCGATAGACTCACTCAGAGACCCATAGACTCACTAAGAGACGCATAGACTCACTCAGAGACCCATAGACTCACTCAGAGACCCATAGACTCATGCAGAGACGCATAGACTCACACAGAGACCCATAGTCTCACTCAGAGACCCATAGACTCACTCAGAGACCCACAGACTCACTCAGAGACCCATAGACTCACTCAGAGACGCATAGACTCACTCAGAGACCCATAGAATCACTCAGAGACCCATAGATTCACACAGACACCCATAGACTCACACAGACACCCATAGACTCACTCAGAGACCCATAGACTCACTCAGAGACCGGTAGACTCATGCAGAGACCCATAGACTCACTCAGAGACCCATAGACTCACTCAAAGACCCATAGACTCACTCAGAGACCCATGACTCACTCAGAGACCCATAGACTCACTCAGAGACCCATAGACTCACACAGAGACCCGTAGAATCGCTTAGAAAACCCATAGACTCACTCAGAGACCCGTAGACTCGCGTAGAGACCAGTAGACTCGCAAAATACCGAGTGCAAGTGAGTTGACGCGTTTAATGCAAAACACAATGGCGTGATGCACCAGAGCAACAGCCACAACGAACCCACCCAATCTAAATCAGCTCAAGAACGATCGCCTCGCCGGAGGCACCGCAAACTTCTGGCCAGCCGCAACCGATACTCCACCGAACAAAACGTCCGGCAGACGAAAGTTTCTCCCCCCCTCGTCGCCGCCGGCGGTGGCGTGTTGCCAGCGCCCTCATCGGACCAGAACGACACGGCCGGCGCTTAGACCGGAGCAATCGATCCGAAAGAGCTTCTTCTTGGTTCCTTCGGTAGAGTCACCGCGTAGAATGGAAGCGATAAAATAATAATAAAAATATATAACGTAGTAAAATTAAATTCTCGCGACGTTTCGGCCACGACACAAGCGGCCTTCTTCAGGCGAAGGAGCAGAGCTGTCGGGACGACAGCGCTTCGGTGAACACTGCTAAGCTTGGCAGCTTCTTTTAAGCTGGGTGGGAGGAGCAGAGCGCCTTGACAAAGGAGTTTACATATCATATGTTAACTCCTTTGTAAACTCCTATATGTAAACTCCATATCATATGTAAACTCCTTTGTAAACTCCTATATGTAAACTCCATATCATATGTAAACTCCTTTGTAAACTCCTATATGTACACTCCACAACATATGTAAACTCCTTTGTGAAGGCGCTCTGCTCCTCCCACCCAGCTTTAAAGACGCTGCCAAGCTTAGCAGTGTTCATTCAAGCGCCGTCATCCCGACAGCTCTGTTCCCTCGCCTGAAGAAGGCCGCTTGTGTCGTGGCCGAAACGTCGCGAGAATTTAATTTTATCGCGTTTGAGGTTTTTTTAATCATTTCCTTGTTTCCCTCCTACGCGGCGACTCTACCGGAAAGAACCAAGAGGACGAATCACTGCGGCCACGAAAGCTTCACGTCGAAAATTTAACTTTCGGAGCCCTTTCGGAGATGATGCTCTTTGATTTGTTGTGTGTCCCCGTTGATCAGACGTCGAAGGCCGTTGGCGGCGAGCCGCGCTCCGTTGCCGTGCACTCGTTGAGCCGTCGGCCTCCTTGTCGATTTTCTCTCGCCCCCTCTCTTGCCCCTTCCACAGTCACGTGCCAGGACCAGTGCCTCAACGGGGGCGTGTGCAGCTCCAACAACACGTGCACCTGCCCGCGGGGATACACGGGCCTCCTGTGCGAAAACGGTACGTGGCCTCGACCCGGAACCGGCAGTGGCAACCCGACGTTTGCACGACGTTGGGCGCCAACGTTCACTCTAACCTCGACCCAACGTTCACTCTAACCTCGACCCAACGTTCACTCTAACCTCGACCCAACGGTGCACCAACCTCGACCCAACGTTTACTCTAACCTCGACCCAACGTTTACTCTAACCTCGACCCAACGTTTACTCTAACCTCGACCCAACGTTTACTCTAACCTCGACCCAACGGTGCTGCAAACCTCGACCCAACGTTTACTCTAACCTCGACCCAACGGTGCTCCAAACCTCGACCCAACGTTCACTCTAATCTCGACCCAACGTTCACTCTAACCTTGACCCAACGTTCACTCTAACCTCGACCCAACGGTGCTGCAAACCTCGACCCAACGTTCACTCTAACCTCGACCCAACGGTGCTCCAAACCTCGACCCAACGTTCACTCTAACCTCGACCCAACGTTCACTATAACCTCGACCCAACGTTCACTCTAACGTCGACCCAACGTTTACTCTAACCTCGACCCAAAGGTGCTGTAAACCTCGACCCAACGTTCACTCTAACCTCGACCCAACGTTCACTCTAATCTCGACCCAACGTTCACTCTAACCTCGACCCAACGTTTACTCTAACCTCGACCCAACGGTACGCCCAACCTCGACCCAACGTTCACTCTAACCTCGACCCAACGTTTACTCTAACCTCGACCCAACGCTGCTCCCAACCTCGACCCAACGTTCACTATAATTTCGACACAACGGTGCGCCCAACCTCGACCCAACGTTCACTCTAACCTCAACCCAACGTTTACTCTAATTTCGACCCAACGGTGCGCCCAACCTCGACCCAACGTTCACTTTAACCTCGACCCAACGTTCACTCTAACCTCGACCCAACGGTGCTCCAAACCTCGACCCAACGTTTACTCTAACCTCGACCCAACGGTGCGCCCAACCTCGACCCAACGTTCACTCTAACCTCGACCCAACGGTGCGCCCAACCTCGACCCAACATTTACTCTAACCTCGACCCAACGGTGCGCCCAACCTCGACCCAACGTTCACTCTAACCTCGACCCAACGGTGCTCCAAACCTCGACCCAACGTTTACTCTAACCTCGATCCAACGGTGCGCCCAACCTCGACCCAACGTTCACTCTAACCTCGACCCAACGGTGCGCCCAACCTCGACCCAACGTTTACTCTAACCTCGACCCAACGGTGCTCCAAACCTCGACCCAACGTTTACTCTAACCTCGACTCAACGGTGCGCCCAACCTCGACCCAACGTTCACTCTAACCTCGACCCAACGGTGCGCCCAACCTCGACCCAACGTTTACTCTAACCTCGACCCAACGGTGCGCCCAACCTCGACCCAACATTTACTCTAACCTCGACCCAACGGTGCTTCAAACCTCGACCCAACGTTTACTCTAACCTCGACCCAACGGTGCGCCCAACCTCGACCCAACGTTCACTCTAACCTCGACCCAACGGTGCGCCCAACCTCGACCCAACGTTTACTCTAACCTCGACCCAACGGTGCTGCAAACCTCGACCCAACGTTCACTCTTATCTCGACCCAACGGTGCGCCCAACCTCGACCCAACGTTCACTCTAACCTCGACCCAACGGTGCTCCAAACCTCGACCCAACGCTGCTCCAACGGTGCTCCAACGTTGCCCCAACGTTGCCCCAACGTTGACCCAACGTTGCGCCAACGTTGGAGCAACGTTGGAGGGGGTGGAGGGTGTCTCCTCTTCTACGCCCCCTGCCCCCACCCCAAACTCCCCTTCCCCCCCTCACCCCCCTCTCCCCCCCCCCCCCCCCCCCCCCCCGCTACTCCCCCTCCTCCCTATCCACACACCTGACCGTGCGTGGTGAAGTATGGTTAAACCGAGACTCGCGATCCTCTCTCCCTACCACCACCACCACCACCACCACCACCCCACCCAGACATCGACGAGTGCCTTACACTGAACGGAGGCTGTGAGCAGACCTGCATCAACCTTGACGGATCCTTCAACTGCTCCTGCAACAGCGGCTTCACCCTGGGGGCTGACGGCCTGGCCTGTGAAGGTGAGCGCGGACGATGCCGCGGTGGCTAGGAGATGTTGACTACCTCGCCCGGTACACAGGAAGTCGTGGATTTGAAATTCAACCATGAAGCCTGCTGTATATTTGGAGTCTGAGTCTCTCTCATCATCATCATTGTGGCCTAGGAGATGTTGACTACCTCGCCCGGTACACAGGAGGTCGTGGATTTGAAATTCAACCATGAAGCCTGCTGTATATTTGGAGTCTGAGTCTCTCTCATCATCATCATCATCATCATCGTGGCCTTGGAGATGTTAACTACCCCGCCTGGTACACAGGAGGTCGCGGATTCGAAATTGAACCCTGACGCCTGCTGTATATTTGGAGTCTGAGTCTCTCTCATCATCATCATCATTGTGGCCTTGGAGATGTTGACTACCTCGCCTGGTTCACAAGAGGTCGTGGGTTTGATCTCGAACCCTGACGCCCGCTGCTGTATATTTGGAATCTGCGTCTCTCTCTCTCTCTCATCATCATCACGGTGGCTAGGAGATGTTAACTACCTCGCCTGGTGTACAGGAGGTTGTGGGTTCAATCCCGACCCTGACGACGCCTGCTGCTGCTGTATATTTGGAATCTGCGTGTCTCTCTCTCTCATCATCATCACCGTGGCTAGGAGATGTTAACTACCTCGCCAGGTATACAGGAGGTTCGTGGGTTCGATCCCGAACCCTAACGGCACCTGTTGTGTATTTCAAGTTTGCGTCTCTCTGTCTCATCATCATCATCATCACCATCACGGTGGCTTGGGAGATGACGACGCCGACGACGATGGTGACGGTGCTTCCTGTGATGACGATGATTATAACGATCGCGCGTCTGCCCCCGAACAGATATTGACGAGTGTAAGGCCCTGCCAAGCCCCTGTGCTCAGATCTGCATCAACTCCATCGGCTCATTCAAATGCGCGTGCAACAGCGGCTATGTGGTAGCTGTCAACGGCCTGGCTTGTGATGGTGAGTACAAAGACAAAGCTTCCTCGCCCGCCCACTATAGCCTCAACAGATTGTAGGGGCAAGTGCTGTTCGGGGCCGTCCATAAATGACGTCACGCACCTGGGGGGATGGGGGGGGGGTCAGACAAAAATCGTCCAAAAATCGCGTGACGTCATTTATGGACGGTCCCTTAGTAGCGAGCAGCAGCACCTACGAAGGCCCGCACGGCACACGAGGGGGTGGGTGACCAACATCACGCCCGGCCGCCTTTGTCTCTCCTCCAGTGGCGATGTTTACTACACATCGCACGTGGTGCTCAGTTGAGGCTGAGTCGACCTAGGGGAGGACCATGACCGGTTCAGAGAATCGTCACTGGTGGTGTTGGTGGCCGTGAACGGGAATCGAACTCGGGTCATAGCCGGGTTCGTGGTGCTAACCGCTCTACACAAACATCACCAGCCTTGACACACGTACACACACACACACATACACACACACACACACACGTACACACATACACACGTACACACACACACACATACACACACACACACACGTACATACACACACACACACATACACACACACACACATACACACACACACACACGTACGTACACACACACACACATACACACACACACACACACGTACACACATACACACGTACACACACACACACATACACACACACACGTACGTACACACATACACACGTGCACACATACACACGTACACACACATACACATGCACACACACACACACGTACGTACACACATACACACGTACGTACACACATACACACGTACGTACACACACACACGTACACACACACACACGTACGTACACACACACATACACACGCACGTACACACACACGTACACACACACACACGTACACACATACACACGTACACACACACGTACGTACACACATACACACGTGCACACATACACACGTACACACACGCACGTACACACACACGTACGTACACACATACACACACACGCACGTACACACACAAACACGTACGTACACACATACACACACATACACACGCACGTACACACGCACACGTACGTACACACATACACACGTACACACACACCTATCAAAACCAACACCCCCCGTTCGTCACAAAGTGGCGGTGACGTCACCACGGCAGCTGTGCCAGGCTAGGTGCACTTTGAGGCTACCACGTGAAGTGTCGAAGGCCTCGCTGCTGCTAGGAGGAGGTCTCGGGACAGACCCAGCAGGTGCCATGGGTTACCCGACCGAGATGACCGGTAGATGCACCACCAGCTGTACCCCTACTGTGCCAGGCTAGGTGCAGGATGAGGTCTCGGGACAGACCCAGCAGGTGCCATGGGTTACCCGACTGAGATGACCGGTAGATGCACCACCAGCTGTACCCCTACTGTGCCAGGCTAGGTGCAGGATGAGATCACGGGGACAGACCCAGCATGTGCCATGGGTTACCCGACCGAGATGAGCGGTAGATGCACCACCACCAGCTGTACCCCCCACTGTGCCAACTTGCTGTGCTTTAGCCGCCCGTCGTTCAGCTCATTGTTGTGAGCGTCGCTCCTCTGCCCTCCGTTGTTGTTACTGGAGAGGCGACTGCCTCCAATTGCCCAGCAGCGTCCTTCACGAGCCTCCTCCATTCAAACATCACCAACATTGACGCACAGATCGCGCTGATTCTGCGCCCGTCTGGAACGTTCTTCCCTCCCGACATTGGGAATCTCACAGGGAGCTGTGATGCCACTTTGAAAGATTCGTCTTCATTGGCCAACTCGTTTGTTTAGAGCTGTTGCTTCCTGTTGTTGTCGTTGTCGTTGTTGTTGTCGTTGTTGTTGTTGTTGTCGTTGTTGTTGTTGTTGTCGTTGTTGTCGTTGTTGTTGTTGTTGTTCTCGTTGTTGTTGTTGTTGTCCTCCTCCCCGCAACTCCGGTTAGCTACGGTTGGCTCCGTGCCAAAGAAGTTCAACGTACACAGGGCAGGGCCCTGTGATGATAACGCTGCTGCTGCTGCTGACACTGCTGGTGATGCTGATGATGATGCTACTGCTGATGATGATGATGCTGATGATGACGCTGCTGCTGCTGATGACACTGCTGGTGATGCTGATGATGATGCTACTGCTGCTGATGATGCTGATGATGCTGACAATGAAGATGATGATGATGAGGGTGCTGCTGCTGATGCTACTGCTGATGATGATGCTGACAATGAAGATGCTGATGCTGCTGCTGATGCTACTGGTGATGCTGATGCTACTGCTGACGATGATGCTGATGATGACGCTCCTGCTGATGCTGACAATGAAGATGCTGACGCTACTGCCGATGATGATGCTGATGATTATGCTACTGCTGATGGTGATGCTGATAATAATGATGCTGATGATGATGCTACTGCTGATGATGATGCTGCTTCTGATGATGCTTCTGACGATGACGCGTTTGCCTTGTTGTTGTTGTTGTTGTTTACAGATATCAACGAGTGCATCGCAAGCTCTCCCTGCCAGTCGCAATGCAGCAACAGCGTGGGGAACTACTCCTGCAGCTGCCCGACGGGACAGATCCTCAACGATGACGGGAGGACGTGCAGAGGTGCCCGTGACGACTTGTTGTTGTTGTTGTTTGTGTGACTGCTGCTGCTACATCAACCCTCACTATTGTTGTTGTTGTTTGTGTGACTGCTGCTGCTACATCAACTCTCATTGTTGTTGTTGTTGTTTGTGTGGCTGCTGCTGCTGCTACATCAACCCTCATTGTTGTTGTTGTTGTTTGTGTGGCTGCTGCTGCTACATCAACCATCATTGTTGTTGTTGTTGTTTGTGTGGCTGCTGCTGCTACATCAACCATCATTGTTGTTGTTGTTGTTTGTGTGACTGCTGCTGCTACATCAACCCTCACTATTGTTGTTGTTGTTTGTGTGACTGCTGCTGCTACATCAACTCTCATTGTTGTTGTTGTTGTTTGTGTGGCTGCTGCTGCTGCTACATCAACCCTCATTGTTGTTGTTGTTGTTTGTGTGGCTGCTGCTGCTACATCAACCATCATTGTTGTTGTTGTTGTTTGTGTGGCTGCTGCTGCTGCTACATCAACCCTCATTGTTGTTGTTGTTGTTTGTGTGGCTGCTGCTACATCAACCCTCATTGTTGTTGTTGTTGTTTGTGTGGCTGCTGCTACATCAACCCTCATTGTTGTTGTTGTTGTTTGTGTGGCTGCTGCTACATCAACCCTCATTGTTGTTGTTGTTGTTGTTTGTGTGGCAGACGTGGACGAGTGCGGAGCGGCGGTGTCTCCGTGTTCCCAGTTCTGCGTCAACACGTGGAGCTCACATCGCTGTGCGTGTCCACTGGGCTTCCAGCTGGCAGGGGACGGAGTCGCCTGTAGCGGTACAACACCCACAACAACACTCACAACAACACTCACAACAACACTCACAACAACACTCACAGCAACACTCACAACAACACTCACAACAACACTCACAACAACACTCACAACAACACTCACAACAACACTCACAACAACATTCACAACAACACTCACAACACTCACAACAACATTCACAACAACACTCACAACAACACTCACAACACTCACAACACTCACAACAACACTCACAACAACACTCACAACAACACTCACAACACTCACAACAACACTCACAACACTCACAACAACATTCACAACAACACTCACAACACTCACAACAACACTCACAACAACACTCACAACAACACTCACAACAACACTCACAACACTCACAACAACACTCACAACAACACTCACAACACTCACAACAACATTCACAACAACACTCACAACAACACTCACAACAACACTCACAACAACACTCACAGCAACACTCACAACAACACTCACAACAACACTCACAACACTCACAACAACATTCACAACAACACTCACAACAACACTCACAACAACACTCACAACAACACTCACAACACTCACAACACTCACAACAACACTCACAACAACACTCACAACAACACTCACAACACTCACAACAACACTCACAACACTCACAACAACATTCACAACAACACTCACAACACTCACAACAACACTCACAACAACACTCACAACAACACTCACAACAACACTCACAACACTCACAACAACACTCACAACAACACTCACAACACTCACAACAACATTCACAACAACACTCACAACAACACTCACAACAACACTCACAACAACACTCACAGCAACACTCACAACAACACTCACAACAACACTCACAACACTCACAACAACATTCACAACAACACTCACAACAACACTCACAACAACACTCACAACAACACTCACAACAACACTCACAACACTCACAACAACACTCACAACAACACTCACAACAACACTCACAACACTCACAACAACACTCACAGCAACACTCACAACAACACTCACAACAACACTCACAGCAACACTCACAACAACACTCACAACACTCACAACAACACTCACAACAACACTCACAACAACACTCACAACAACACTCACAACAACACTCACAACAACACTCACAACACTCACAACAACACTCACAACAACACTCACAACAACACTCACAACAACACTCACAGCAACACTCACAACAACACTCACAACACTCACAACAACACTCACAGCAACACTCACAACAACACTCACAACAACACTCACAACAACACTCACAACAACACTCACAACAACACTCACAACACTCACAACAACACTCACAACAACACTCACAACAACACTCACACAACACTCATAACAACACTCACAACAACACTCACAACAACACTCACAACAACACTCACAACAACACTCACAACACTCACTACACCAACAACAATGATGATGATGATGACAATGATTTTGGTGATGACGATGATTTTGGTGATGACGATGAGGATGATGACGATGATTTTGGTGATGACGATGAGGATGATGACGACAATGATGTCGATGCTGACGATGGTGGGGGAGCGGTGGCGCAGCGGTTAGCGCCACGCTGCGCTACGAACCTACCCACCCGAGTTCGATTCCCGCTCACGGCCAACACCACCGGTGACGATTAATCTGAACCGGCCCTGGGCCTCCCCTAGGTCGACTCGGCCTCAAAACGAGTACCTGGTTGCGGTGCGTAGTAAACATCGCCCGCTGGGGAGACAAAGGCGGCCGGGCGTGGTGCTGGCCACCCAACCCCACCTCGCGTGCCGCTCACAGCACTCGCCCCGACAGTCTGTTGAGGCTGCACGGGGGGTCTCCGTCTGTACTTGGTGTGCACGTGATGTTGATGTTTCAAATGTTTCAAAACCTCTGCAGACATTGACGAGTGCGTGCTCAGCCCCAGCGTGTGCGCGGTGCACTGTGCCAACACCCCGGGCTCCTACAGCTGCTCCTGCGACCCGGGCTACGTCCTCGCCGAAGACAACAGCAAGTGCATCGGTGAGTGGAGCGAGCACCGCTGCTGTTGCCTCTGTCGCTGTCTCTCAATCATCATCATCGTCATCGTCGTCATCACGTTGGCTAGGAGATGTTAACTACCTCGCCTGGTTTACAGGAGGTCTGTGTCTCTCTCTCATCATCATCGTCGTCGTCATCACGGTGGCTATGAGATGTTAACTACCTCGCCTGGTATACAGGAGGTCTGTGTCTCTCTCTCATCATCATCATCATCACGGTGGCTAGGAGATGTTAACTACCTCGCCTGGTATACAGGAGGTCTGTGTCTCTCTCTCATCATCATCATCATCATCACGGTGGCTAGGAGATGTTAACTACCTCGCCTGGTGTACAGGAGGTCTGTGTCTCTCTCTCATCATCACCATCATCACGGTGGCTATGAGATGTTAACCACCTCGCCTGGTGTACAGGGGGTCTGTGTCTCTCTCATCATCATCATCACGGTGGCTATGAGATGTTAACTACCTCGCCTGGTTTACAGGAGGTCTGTGTCTCTCTCATCATCATCATCACGGTGGCTATGAGATGTTAACTACCTCGCCTGGTTTACGCAGGAGGTCGTGGGTTCGATCCCGAACCTGACGATGCCTGCTGCTGTATATTTGAAATCTATCTGTCTCTCTCATCATCATCATCACGGTGACAAGGAGATGTTGACTACCTCGCCTGGTACGCAGGGGTCGTGGGTTCGATCCCGAACCTGACGATGCCTGCTGCTGCTGCTGATGTAGATTTGGAATCTGCGCCTCTCTCTCTCATCATCATCATCACGGTGGCTAGGAGATGTTAACTACCTCGCCTGGTTTACAGGGGGTCGTGGGTTCGAGATCCCGACCCTGACGATGCCTGCTGCTGCTGCTGATGTAGATTTGGAGTCTATGTGTCTCTCAATCATCATCATCATCACAGTGGCTATGAGATGTTAACTATCTCGCCTGGTACGCAGGAGGTCGTGGGTTCGATCCCGACCCTGACGATGCCTGCTGCTGCTGCTGTATATTTGGAGGTTGCACGTCTCTCTCTCTCTCTCATCATCATCACGGTGGCTAGGAGATGTTAACTACCTCGCCTGGTATACAGGAGGTCGTGGGTTCGATCCCGACCCAGACGATGCCTGCTGCTGTAGATTTGGAGTCAGCATTTCTCATCATCATTATCATCACGGTGGCTAGGAGATGTTAACCACCTCGCCTGGCTACGTACGGTGCGGCAGAAGTTCAACGCACACAAACGCACGCAATGACAGCTCATCTCATTCTCTCCCGAGGAATGCTTCACGGAATCTCTCCGACGCACGCGGATTTTCCTCCCTTGTGTTTCACCCCCACCCCCTACTCCCCCCCCCACCCTACCCACCTTTACCCCCCCCCACACACACACACGCCCTCCCTACAGATGTTAATGAGTGTGCGTCGTCACCTTGCGGGCAAGTCTGCGTCAATTCCATCGGCTCGTTCGCGTGCAAGTGCCACCCGGGATTCCTTCTCAATGCAGTGGACCACAAGACCTGCGATGGTGATGAGCGGCCACGCACACAGAGTCAATGCCCCCCCCCCTCTCCCAACCACCGTATGAAGGCCGGCAACCACACCCGTCCGCCTTTGTCTAAACTCATGGCGTTGACTCACACAAAGACAAAGATCCCCCTTGTAGCCTGCGACAGGCAGCTGGGGCAAGTGCTGTTAGCGGTAGCGAGGAGCAAACCCGTCGACCCCGTACGGTTCACGTGTGCAGGGAGATTGAGTTTCCAGGTTCGTACGGCGCGCGGGCGTTTATTGAGATTATTTGTTCGTGTGTTTGTCCCCTGTGATGGGACTTTGTAGGGTGAACGTTGAGATTTATAAGGGGCACGGGGTGACCAATGAGGTCTGAGTTGGCCTGTAATAAGGTAGGGCACTGATAAGGGGTTGATAGGTTTGTAGTGGTGAGTGTAGTCGTGGTGAGTGTAGTCGTGGTGAGTGTTCTAGTGGTGAGTGTATTAGTGGTGAGTGTACACGTAGTGAGTGTACTAGTGGTGAGTGTACTAGTGGCGAGTGTACTAGTGGTGAGTGTACACGTAGTGAGTGTACTAGTGGTGAGTGTACTAGTGGTGAGTGTACACGTAGTGAGTGTACTAGTGGTGAGTGTACTAGTGGTGAGTGTAGTGGTGAGTGTACTAGTGGTGAGTGTACACGTAGTGAGTGTACTAGTGGTGAGTGTACACGTAGTGAGTGTACTAGTGGTGAGTGTACTAGTGATGATTGCCTGTTTGTAATTCTACTAAGTGTTAAACTGACTACATCGTCATTTAACACTTGGAAGTAAGAGCAGGATGCTTTCGTGACCGATATGATCCCGACATCGCGTGAGTATACAAAGTGGCGTGTGCTGCGCTGCTAACGAATGTGGCCACGTTTTTGTCAACACGTGAAAAGACCGCACGCACGCACGCACACACACACGCACACACGCACACACACGCATGCACACACATGCACGCACACACGCACACACACGCATGCACACACACGCACGCACACACACGCGCACACGCGCAGAAACAACCTCTGTTTCGGTAAAGTCACGTAGAAAAGTTTTTTTTAATGTAAATAACGATCTCACGAATGAATGAGTTGCGTGGAATTCCAGCCCATAGCGGCCGGAGGAGAGCAAATAGATTCGTGAACGAGTAGGGCGAAAGCAAGTTTTAGGTAAAATTAAGAAGTGTAATTCAACGCAACAACAGAGAGTCGGTCAACACACGGTCGAAGCATAGCCCGGTTGATTACGTTCTTACAGAAGATTGCTAAATTCGAAGTTAAGTGGGAAGCAAACATTGGCGAATCCCTCCGTGTAGAGGCGGTTCAGAACTAGCTTCGAAACTTTCTTGACTGCAGGAAGTGACTCTTTGTGTTCTTTCCGTGTTTGATTCTAATTTTAGCAATCTTTGTAAGAACGTAATCAACCAGGCTATGCGTTAACCGCGTGTTGACCGACTCCCTGATGTTGCTTTGCGTTACAAACTTCCTAATTTTTACTCAACTTGCGATTCTCCTCTGGCCGCTATGGGCTCGAATTCCACGGCAACTCATTCGTTGGTTCGATGATTATCGTTTGATTATCATTTTATTTCTACGCGCGACTTCACCGAAAGAACCACGGAGTAATTCCTGCAGTCGCTGCAGCTTCGAATTTTGTTTGAGTCGTCTTTGTTCACGAAATACTTTTTAAAAAGAGCAAACCGCTTCACCGGCCAGGGGATCTTTGTCTCTGTCTCCCGGCAGACGTTGACGAGTGTGCGGCGTCTCCGGGACCCTGCAACCAGACCTGCACCAACTCGATCGGCTCCTTCGCTTGCTCCTGCACCGCCGGATGGGTCCTAGGCAAAGACAACAGCAGCTGTGAAGGTGCGGGGAGATCTTGACCGGTCCTTGCATACACACACAGATACACAACACACACACACAACACACACACATTACACACACATAGCCACACACACAACACACACATAACACACACACACACAACACACACAACACACACACAACACACACAGACACATACACACACAACACACACACAATACACACACACCACACACACACCACACACACAATACACACACACACAACACACACATAACACACACACACACACACACCACACACAACACATACAACACACACAGACACACACACCCCAGACAGTGGTAGGGGCTGGTAGGGGTACACAGACAGTGGTAGGGGCTGGTAGGGGTACACAGGGAGTGGTAGGGGCTGGTAGGGGTACACAGACAGTGGTAGGGGCTGGTAGGGGTACACAGGGAGTGGTAGGGGCTGGTAGGGGTACACAGACAGTGGTAGGGGCTGGTAGGGGTACACAGAGACAGTGGTAGGGGCTGGTAGGGGTACACAGAGACAGTGGTAGGGGCTGGTAGGGGTACACAGACAGTGGTAGGGGCTGGTAGGGGTGCACAGACAGTGGTAGGGGCTGGTAGGGGTGCACAGACAGTGGTAGGGGCTGGTAGGGGTGCACAGACAGTGGTAGGGGCTGGTAGGGGTACACAGAGAGTGGCAGGAGCTGGTAGGGGTACACAGAGGGGGTAGGGACTGGTAGGGGTACACAGACAGTGGTAGGGGCTGGTAGGGGTACACAGACAGTGGTAGGGGCTGGTAGAGGTACACAGGGAGTGGTAGGGGCTGGTAGGGGCTGGTAGGGGTACACAGGGAGTGGTAGGGGCTGGTAGGGGCTGGTAGTGGTACACAGGGAGTGGTAGGGGCTGGTAGGGGCTGGTAGGGGTACACAGGGAGTGGTAGGGGCTGGTAGGGGTACACAGAGGGGGTAGGGGCTGGGGGTAGGGGCTGGGGGTAGGGGCTGGGGGTAGGGGCTGGGGGTAGGGGCTGGGGGTAGGGGTGCCCAGGGGTAACGGCGAGCGACTGGCGTTGACCGTTCCCCAGACGTGAACGAGTGCGCCGTCTCCAACGGAGGATGCTCCAACCTCTGCGTCAACAGCCCCGGCTCGTTCGCGTGCCACTGCCCCACCGGCTACATCCTGGCGAGCGCCTCCACCTGCGCAGGTAACAAACACGTGCCGTGGTGTCCCAGAAGGTGGGTGGGTGCGTGGCACCTCGGTGGTATTGCTGCCCATAGACTCAGTGTTCAGGGAGTGTTGAGTCCATAGGCAGTGTTGAGTCTATGGGCAGTGTTGAGTCTGTGGTGCAGTGTTGAGTCTGTGGGTAGTGTTGAGTCTATGGGCAGTGTTGAGTCTGTGGGTAGTGTTGAGTCTGTGGGCAGTGTTGAGTCTGTGGTGCAGTGTTGAGTATGTGGTGCAGTGTTGAGTCTGTGGGTAGTGTTGAGTCTGTGGTATAGTGTTGAGTCTATGGGCAGTGTTGAGTCTATGGGCAGTGTTGAGTCTGTGGTGCAGTGTTGAGTCTATGGGCAGTGTTGAGTCTGTGGTGCAGTGTTGAGTCTATGGTGCAGTGTTGAGTCTGTGGTGCAGTGTTGAGTCTGTGGGTAGTGTTGAGTCTGTGGTATAGTGTTGAGTCTATGGGCAGTGTTGAGTCTATGGGGCAGTGTTGAGTCTATGAGCAGTGTTGAGTCTATGGGGCAGTGTTGAGTCTATGGGCAGTGTTGCGTCTATGGGCAGTGTTGAGTCTGTGGGCAGTGTTGAGTCTATGGTGCAGTGTTGAGTCTATAGGCAGTGTTGAGTCTATGGGCAGTGTTGAGTCTATGGGCAGTGTTGAGTCTATGGGCAGTGTTGAGTCTGTGGGCAGTGTTGAGTCTGTGGTGCAGTGTTGAGTCTGTGGGCAGTGTTGAGTCTGTGGTGCAGTGTTGAGTCTGTGGGCAGTGTTGAGTCTGTGGTGCAGTGTTGAGTCTGTGGGCAGTGTTGAGTCTGTGGTGCAGTGTTGAGTCTGTGGGTAGTGTTGAGTCTGTGGTGCAGTGTTGAGTCTATGGGCAGTGTTGAGTCTATGGGCAGTGTTGAGTCTATGGGCAGTGTTGAGTCTATGGGCAGTGTTGGGTCTATGGGCAGTGTTGAGTCTATGGGCAGTGTTGAGTCTATGGGCAGTGTTGAGTCTATGGGCAGTGTTGAGTCTATGGTGCAGTGTTGAGTCTATAGGCAGTGTTGAGTCTATGGGCAGTGTTGAGTCTATGGGCAGTGTTGAGTCTATGGGCAGTGTTGAGTCTGTGGTGCAGTGTTGAGTCTGTGGGCAGTGTTGAGTCTGTGGTGCAGTGTTGAATCTATGGGCAGTGTTGAGTCTGTGGTGCAGTGTTGAGTCTATGGGCAGTGTTGAGTCTATGGGCAGTGTTGAGTCTATGGGCAGTGTTGAGTCTATGGGCAGTGTTGAGTCTATGGGCAGTGTTGAGTCTATGGGCAGTGTTGAGTCTATGGGCAGTGTTGAGTCTGTGGTGCAGTGTTGAGTCTGTGGGTAGTGTTGAGTCTGTGGTGCAGTGTTGAGTCTGTGGGTAGTGTTGAGTCTGTCGGTCGTGTTAATGCCCATTGACTCAATTTTGTGAAAAAGAGCTTCATAGCTCATCAGATTCCTAAATATTTAGATTAACTTTACAAGTGGAGGGCGGCTGCTGTGTGATCCCAGTTGAGTGATTAGCTGGGGACTTGTTTTGCATTGTTGAGCATAGGGGCACCTCGGTGGCTAGGAGATGTTATCTCCCTCGCCTGGTACGCAGTAGGTCGTGGTTTAGATCCCGACACTGACGAAGCCTGCTGCTGTATATTTGGAGATCTGCGTGTCTCTCTCTCTCATCATCATCATCACGGTGGCTAGGAGATGTTAACTACCTCGCCTGGTACGCAGGAGGTCGTGGTTTAGATCCCGACACTGACGATGCCTGCTGCTGCTGTATATTTGGAGATTTGCGTGTCTGTCTCTCTCATCATCACGGTGGCTAGGAGATGTTAACTACCTCGCGTGGTGTACAGGAGGTCGTGGTTTAGATCCCGACACTGACGAAACCTGCTGCTGCTGTATATTTGGAGTTTGCGTGTCTCTCTCTCTCCCCGCGGTCGCGTGGATTTTTCTCCGGCTCCTCCGGTTCCCCCCCTCCACCCCCCCTTCACATTTAGAGTCAATGTCACGCGTTCATAGTATTTGGCTGCTAGAAATGTACACGCGATAAGCCACTTCGTTAAGCTATTTATTGGTGGCCGGCTCGCTCATGACAACGAGCTTATAGGGCTCAGTGGGCATGACCTGGTAAAATAATAGAAAAAAATAACTTAGTTTGCTCTTTTAGTTTGAGTGATTTTTCGGGGGAATTGTTTGGAATCGTTTAGCAGAGGGGCGTGAGATGTCACCTCCCTCGCCCGCTACGCACGAGGCCGCGGACTTCTACTCTCTATATTTTTGCCCGCATATTTTGGGCGGACAGCGTGTCTCTCGCTCTCTCTCCCCCGAGGCTCGCGTGGATTTTGTGTCGGGGGGCCCCCTCCGCTCACCCCCTCTCCACTCATTCAGAACGGAGAACGCGGAGGGCTAGCGGAGTGGGGGGTGGGGGGTGGGGGGTGGGGGGTGGGGCGGTGGGCGGTGAAGGTCTCGCGTCATTATCGTTCATCGGCGTTCGGGGACTCGCCCTTTGTTCCCGCGTGCTTCTGCAGACGACAACGAATGCGCCAAAGTTCCACCTCCCTGTAACGGGACCTGCACCAACAACGCCGGCAGCTACTCCTGCAGTTGTGGGTCCGGTCTGGCCCTGGCCTCGGACGGTCACTCCTGCATCGGTGAGTGGGAGGGGGACTTGCTGGTGGATCCCTTTTTTATTTTTTATTTTTTATAATTTTTTTTTTTATTTTTATTTTTTAATTTTTTATTTTTTATTTTTTTATTTTTTATTTTTTTATTTTTTATTTTTCAAACGAAGCGATACAAAATGAGTGGTGGGTCCCGGACACAAAGCGGAGAGTTGAGACACGCCAGGGGGGTTATTTTCAGTCGGCGTTTGTTGACTTGAACACCGGTGGTGCTGACGGACGAGACCAAGATCCCGCCGCCGTATATAGCCTGCGGCAGGCTGTCGGGGCAAGTGCTGTCAGCGAGTAGCAGCACCTACGAAGGCCGGCACGGTGGCACACCAAGGGGGTGGGGTAGTCAGCACCTCGCCCGCCCGCCCGCCCGCCCGCCCAGTAGCGATGTTCACTACACACTGCACCAGGCACTCATTTAAGGCTGAGTCAGCGTAGCGCTAACCGCTGCACTACCGCTGCACTACCACTGCACTACCGCTGCACTACCGCTGCACTACCGCTGAACCAGTAACTCGTTGGCACGTTCCGGATTACGTGAGAAAACCCTTCGCTACACTCCTGGGTTTTTTTCAGTTGTGTCACGTAGTAGGTATAAAATAAAATAAATCGCGACGCTTCGATGGCAACACAAGCATTCATCATCAGGTGGGACAACCACAGCAAGGGAAATGTTTTTGCCGAAGTGATTTTTTTTCCTTGCTGTGGTTGTCACACCTGATGATGATGATTGCTCGTGTAGGCGATCGAAACGTCGCCGATTTGCTTTATTTCACAGCTACTACCCACGTCATGACTTTACCGAAAGAACCAAAGAGTATGGATCGCTGCAGTCACGAAAGCTTCACATCTAAACCCTTTGCTAATTGGACGTGTGTCGGGATGGGTGTCCGGTTTATACGACGCAACATTGATAACGTACTCTTGGTTCTTTCGGTAAAGTCACCACCACGTAGAAGGGGAACAATAACATAATAAAAATATAAAACAATAAAATTGTTATTCTTGGTTCTTTCGGTAAAGTCACCACCATGTAGAAGGGAAACAATAAAATAATAAAAATATATGAAACGATAAAATTCTCACGACGTTTCGACTGCAACACAAGAAGCAATCATCATCAGGTGTGTGAAAACCACAGCAAGAAAATTTGGAAAAAAGTGGCGGTGTTTTTTTAACGTTAGCACCACAGAGAGCGATTTGACAGTTTGTTCAGATGGACGAGTCCATCTATGTTCGGAAAAGAGGAGGGGGGAGACGAAAATAATGGATGCGGTCTGAAAGCCACCTTAAGCGTGATCAATCAATTAAGACCCGAAATGGTTTATCAAATCCTTCCAATGATTGCTAAGCCAGAATCCATCTTCTCGGTTGAAATTGCCTCCGTGTTTGTATATGTGGATAGCCTCATGAACGAATCGCTCTCCGTGGTGCTAACGTTAAAAAACGCCACTTTTTTAAAAATTGTTCTTGCTGTGGTTTTCACACCTGATGATGATTGCTTGTGTTGCAGTCGAAACGTCGTGAGGATTTTATTGTTTTATATTTCTTTATTATTTTACTGTTTCCCTTCTACGTGGTGGTGACTTTACCGAAAGAACCAAGAATAACACTTTTATTGTTTTACAATAATTTCATTGTTTTATATTTTTATTATTTTATTGTTTCCCCTTCTACGTGGTGGTGACTTTACCGAAAGAACCAAGAATATGAATCCCTGCAGTCACGAAAGCTTTAAATAAAAAATGAACATTGATATTGACGCCATCTCTAACCAAAAACGCAGAACAGAAACCACGTTTATTACTCCCACAAGGTGGGGGAGGTGGGGGAGGTTGGGGGTGGTCCCTAGTCGTGAAATAAAATGTCAAGCAATAGCAACGTCATTACACCTGGGAGTTGGGACTGACCAATGTACGAGATGCAGCGGCGAACGAACATCAACATCCTGCGGCATCGTGGTGCCGTGAGCGGTGTAGCACGAGATCCCCAAGGCGAAAAAAACGCACCGGCAGATTTTAAAATTCCCCGCTCTCACCCACCCACCCCAAACCCCCGTTTTTAATCTCATCTCCCGACGCGTCTTTCCGTTGTCGCTAACTCGATCTTCTGTTTTTGTTTGAAACCACCCAGACGTTGACGAATGTCTCTCGTCGCCGTGCAACCAGAACTGCGTCAACGACTTCGGGTCCTTCCACTGCACCTGCAACCCCGGATTCGTGCTCAGCGCGCCCACGACGTGCACGGGTAAAACACGGGTCACGTGGTTAGTGGGGGGGCCACGCTTTCACACGTGTAGCACAGGCCACGTGGTTAGTGGGGGGCCACGCTTTCACCCGTGTAGCACAGGCCACGTGGTTAGTGGGGGGCCACGCTTTCACGGGTGTAGCACAGGCCACGTGGTTAGTGGGGGGCCACACTTTCACGTGTGTAGCACAGGTCACGTGGTGAGGGTGGGGGGCCACAGCGTCACGCGTTCAGAGCCTTCGCCTGCCGCTGTGCGTAGCTCGACGCGATGATGATGCTGATGATGATGCTGATGATGAGCCCGCTTCGTTGAACGAGCTGTATGGCCCAGTGTGCCTTACCCGGTCAAGTGAAAGTCACGCACAGGCGTCACACGTGTGGGGAGCGGTGGTGCAGCGGTTAGCGCTACGCCGCTCGCGTTCCGAACCCGGCTACGACCCGATGTTCGATTTCCCGCTCACGGCCACCGAACGCCGCCAGTGGCGATTCCCTGAACCGGTCCCGGGCCTCCTCCCCCTAGGTCGGCTCGGCCTCAACTGAGCACCTGGTTCGCTGTTGTTAAACATCGCCAGTGGGGGAGACAAAGGCGGCCGGGCGTGGCTTTGGCCAGCCACCCACCCTCTCGTGTGCCACGGATGCCGTACTTTGCAGGCGCTGCTGCTGCTGCTGCTGCTCGCTAGCAGCACTTTCCCACAACGATCTGTTGAAGGCTACACGGGGGATCTTTGTCTCCCGGTGGACGTTGACGAGTGAGCGTGTTGACCGACTCCCTGATGTTGCATTGCGTTACAAACTTCCTAATTTTACTCAACTCGATAGTCTCCTCCGGCCGCTATGGGCTGGAATTCCACGGCAAACTCATTCGTTCGTGCGATGATTATTATTATTATTTGTATTCTTGGTTCTTTCGGTAAAGTCACCACTACGTTAGAAGAGAAACAATAAAATAATACAAAATATAAAGCAATGAAATTCTCACGACGTTTCGACTGCAACACAAGCAGCAATTCATCATCAAGGTGTGAAAACCACAGCAAGAACATTTAAAGAAAAACGCCACTTTTTTCTAACTTTTTTACTGTGGTTTTCACACCTGATGATGATTGCTTCTTGTGTTGCAGTCGAAACGTCGTGATAATTTAATCGTTTCATATTTTTTAAATTATTTTATTGTTTCCCTTCTACGTGGTGGTGACTTTACCGAAAGAACCAAGAATAATAATTTTATTGTTTTACAATAAGTTTATTGTTTTATATTTTTATTATTTTATTGTTTCCCTTCTACTTCTACGTGGTGGTGACTTTACCGAAAGAACCAAGAATAACAATTTTATTGTTTTACAATAATGTTATTGTTTTATATTTTTATTATTTTATTGTTTCCCTTCTACGTGGTGGTGACTTTACCGAAAGAACCAAGAATATGAATCCCTGCAGTCACGAAAGCTTGAAATCAAAGATTATTATTATTTGATTAAATTTTCATCTCTACGTCACTTCACCGAAAGGATTTCGTTTGAGTCGTCTTTGTTCACGAAATACTTTTAAAAAGAGCAAACCGCTTCACCGGCCGGGGGATCTTTGTCTCTGTCTCCCGGCAGACGTTGATGAGTGTGCGGCGTCTCCGGGACCCTGCAACCAGACCTGCACCAACTCGATCGGCTCCTTCGCTTGCTCCTGCACCGCCGGATGGACCCTAGGCAAAGACAACAGCAGCTGTGAAGGTGCGGGGAGAGAGGCATTGAGTGCAGCTCCCGGACTTGAAAGATTGTCTTGTGGGTGGGTGCGTGGGTGTGTGGGTGAGCGGGTAGGTGGGTGGGTGGGCGAGAGGGTGAGTGGGTGGGCGAGTGAGCGAATGGGTGGGTGAGTGGGTGGGTGAGTGAGCGAATGGGTGGGTGGGTGCGTGGGTGAGTGGGTGGGTGGGTGGACGAGAGGGTGAATGGGTGGGCGAGAGGGTGAATGGGTGGGCGAGAGGGTGAATGGGTGGGCGAGTGGGTGGGTGAGTAAGTGGGTGCGTGGGTGAGCGGGTAGGTGGGTGGGTGGGCGAGAGGGTGAGTGGGTGGGCGAGAGGGTGAATGGGTGGGTGAGTGGGTGGGTGAGTAAGCGGGTGCGTGGGTGAGTGAGCGAGTGGGTGAGTGAGTGGGTGAGCGGGTGGGTGGGTGAGTGAGCGAATGGGTGGGTTGGTGAGTGGGTCGGTGCGTGGGTGAGCGGGTAGGTGGGTGGGTGAGCGAGTGGGTGGGTGAGTGGGTGCGTGAGTGGGTGGGTGAGTGAGCAAATGGGTGGGTGGATGAGTGAGCGGGTGGGTGAGCGAGTGGGTGAGTGAGTAGGTGGTTGGGTGAGTGGGTGGGTGAGTGAGTGAGTGGGTGAGTTAATGGGTGAGTGAGTGAGCAGATGGGAGAGTGTATCAGTGGGTGAGTTAGTGGGTGAGTGAGTTAGTGGGTGAGTTACTGAGCGAATGAATGAGTGAGTGGATGGGTGAGTGAGTGGGTGAGTTAGTGGGTGAAGAAGTGAGTGAGTTGGTGATTGAGCGGGTGAATGAGTGAGTGAGTGGGTAGGTAAGTGTGTGAGTGGGTGAGTTGGTGGGTGATTGAGTGGGTGAGTTAGTTGACGATTGAGTAAGTGAGTAGGTGGGTGAGTGTGGTGAGTTAGTGGGTGAGTGAGTGGGTGAGTGGGTGGGTGAGTGAGCAGGTGGGTGAGTGAGCGGGTGAGTGAGTGAGCGGGTGTGTGAGTGAGCGGGTGGGTGAGTGTGTAAGTGGGTGAGTTAGTGGGTGAGTGAGTGGGTGAGTGGGGTGGGTGAGTGAGTGGGTGAGTGGGTGGGTGAGTGAGCAGGTGGGTGAGTGAGCGGGTGGGTGAGTGAGGGGTGAGTGAGTGAGCGGGTGTGTGAGTGAGCGGGTGGGTGGGTGTGTGAGTGGGTGAGTAAGTGGGTGAGTGGGTGAGTGGGTGGGTGAGTGAGCAGGTGGGTGAGTGAGCGGGTAAGTGAGTGAGCGGGTGAGTGAGTGAGCGGGTGTGTGAGTGAGCGGGTGGGTGAGTGTGTAAGTGGGTGAGTTAGTGGATGAGTGAGTGGGTGAGTGGGGTGGGTGAGTCAGCAGGTGGATGAGTGGGTGAGTGAGCGGGTGTGTGAGTGGGTGAGTTAGTGGTTGAGTGAGTGAGCGGGTGGGTGAGTGTGTGAGTGAGCAGGTGTGTAAGTGGGTGAGTGAGTGAGTGAGCGGGTGTGTGAGTGGGTGAGTTAGTGGATGAGTGAGTGGTTGAGTGGGGTGGGTGAGTGAGTAGGTGGATGAGTGGGTGAGTGAGCAGGTGTGTGAGTGGGTGAGTTAGTGTTTGAGTGAGTGAGTGGGTGAGTTAGTGGTTGAGTGAGTGAGTGGGTGAGCTAGTGGTTGAGTGAGTGAGTGGGTGAGTTAGTGGGAGAATGAGTGAGTGGTTGAGTGAGTGAGTGGGTGAGTTAGTGTTTGAGTGAGTGAGTGTGTGAGTTAGTGGTTGAATGAGTGAGTGAGTGGGTGGTGTACCCTGGTGTGTGTGTGCACGTGGCACCGCGGTTAGCGCCGCTGGGCCATGAGCACGCCCGTGACCCGAGTTGGATTCCCGCTCACGGCCACCAACACCGCCGGTGACGATTAGCCTGAACCGGCCCTGGGCCTCCCCCCTCTGGTCCACTCAGCCTCAAATAAGTACCTGGGTGCGGTGTGTAGTGAACATCGCCACTGGGGAGACAAAGGCGGCCGGGGGTGGTTGCTGGCCACCCACCCTCCTCGTGTGCCACCCTGCCGGCCTGGGTAATCGCCGTTGCCTGCACTCGCCCCAACTGTGTGCTCAGTTCGACATTTGTCCATGTGTGTGGTGCTTCGTGCAGACGTTGATGAGTGTGTCCTCAACTCGTTCGGCTGCCTGGGAGACTGCGTGAACACGCAGGGAAGTTTCCACTGCACGTGCCTCAAAGGATTCCGGTTGGACGTTGATCAAAAGACTTGCGTTGGTACGTAAATGAACAGCGACCAGGCCCCTTTAGCCATATGTTATGAAGGGTCACTAAACGATACAAAAAATAAACACGTAAATATGAAAACGCGCATTTTTAACTTGTAAAGTAATTGTATTTTTTTTCATTCGCTATGCAGCCGGGTAATACGGCAAAATCGATAACCTTCAACACCCGGACGTTTGGAAAAGTCGAAGGCGGTATAGTACTGTAGTAATAGAGCAAGTGCAGGTTCATGTTGATCCTAAATGTGGAGGAGGGTGTGGGGGGGACACGGAGGAACGCGGAGAAAAACTCCTCGTGACCACGGGGAGAAAGAGAGACACACACAACTTCAAATATACAGCAGCAGCAGCAGCAGGCGTTGTCAGGGTGGGGATCGAACCCACGACCTCCTGTATACCAGGCGAGGTAGTTAACATCTCCTAGCCACCGTGATGATGATGATGATGATAGAGAGACACACAACTTCAAATATACAGCAGCAGCAGCAGGCGTTGTCAGGGTGGGGATCGAACCCACGACCTCCCTGTACACCAGGCGAGGTAGTTAACATCTCCTAGCCACCGTGATGATGATGATGATAGAGAGACACACGCAAAACTCCAAAAACACAACAGGCGTTGTCAGGGTCGGGATCGAACCCACGACCTCCATGTACACCAGGCGAGGTAGTTAACATCTCCTAGCCACCGTTATATACATTAAACCGTTTGTAACTTTTCGTGTAATTGCAACATGTTGCCATCGTGAAAAATACTGCTTTGAAATTGGGTCCACCTCTTTGAAACACCCTGTATTTGAAAGTATTTTCCCCCCTCTTCTGTACTCCGCACTCCCATGGTGTTTGCGCATCGTGTGCTTGCTGTCGTTACGTTCTGTGCCCGTGTCACCGCTACTGGACATCTGTAAAAAAATTAAAAGAGCTTGCTAGCTCATAGGATTCTTCAGCGTTAAATAAATATTCCCCGATTCTGAGATAGAGCTTGCTAGCTCATGGGATTCTTCAGCGTTACATAAATATTCCCCGATTCTGAGATGAAATCTCGGCTACACAGGGGATCTTTGTCTTGAACTTTGGGAGGAGCGGTGGTGTACGGGCGGTTAGCGCACTGCTGCACTACGAGCCTGGTGAACCCGTGTTCGGTTACTGCACACGGCCACCATCACCGGTGATGGTTATCTGAACCAGGTCCTGGGCCCCCCCCTAGGTCGACTCAGCCTCAAATGAGTACCTGGTGCGGTGTATAGTGGACATCGCCACTGGGGGAGAGACAAAGGCGGCCGGGCGTGGCGCTGGCCACCCACCCCCCTCGTGTGCCACAGTGCCGGCCTGCATCGGTGCTGCTCACGAACGGCGCTTGGCCCGACAGTCTGTTGAAGGCTGCATACTGTAGATGTGTAGTGGTACTCTCACGAGGAGCAGGAGGCACTCTATTACAGCCGTCACGGGTCACAAGGGGTAACTACGCGCTCAGTCCTCACGGCTTACTGACGCCGCCGAGAGGGGCTGAAGCAGTCAAAGAATTGACTCCAGCAGCCCGGCCGGCATCCCACTCGCAGCGACACAGCCCCGAGCCTTCGCTCGGGGGTCCCCTTTTATCCTCCCGGCGTGGCCTCGCTCCGCCCCCGGCCACGCCCCCTCCCTTCTCGAACCTCCTCGCGGGTTCCCCGTGGCTCAAGTCGCGTGCCCCCACTCATCGCCATTGCCCTACGTCCCCCCCTCTCTGGCTTATCGCGTGACCTGCTCACGGAGACGGGGCTGCGGCAACCGCAGATCCCTTTCTCGGCCAGCAGTCGGCGCTGCGCTCCACAGCGCCCCATTTCATGTCACCGCACGTGCGACGGGGGCGGGAGGGGACGACGACATCCATTGCCGTCGTGTGCGCGTCCTTGCAGATGTGTTGGAGTGCGCCAACAGCCCCTGCGCGCACACGTGCAGCGAACTGCTCGGAGGATTCCAGTGCAGCTGCATGGCCGGCTGGGAGTTGGCGCCGGACAACTCGTCCTGTATCGGTACGCAGAGGGCGAACGTCGGGGGCCCGGGGAGGCGCTGCGGTGGCAGCCAGAAGGGTCCGGGGTTTGATTCCTGACTCGGGCGCCCTGTTTCTATGTACGTTCTCTCTCTCCCCCTGTCCTGTAGAGTGAGTGGAGTTTGTGTGAGCTTCCACTGGTCTACAGAGTGAGTGAGTGGAGTTTGTGTGATCTCCCACTGGTCTACAGAGCGAGTGAGTGGAGTTTGTGTGAGCTCCCACTGGTCTACAGAGTGAGTGGAGTTTGTATGATCTCCCCCTGTTCTACAGATAAGAGTGAGTGAGTGGAGTTTGTGTGATCTCCCCCTGTTCTACAGAGCGAGTGAGTGGGGTTTGTATGATCTCTGCCTGTTCTAGTGAGTGAGTGGAGTTTGTGTGATCTCTGCCTGTCCTACAGAGTGAGTGGAGTTTGTGTGATCTCCCCCTGTTCCACAGAGTGAGTGGACTTTGTATGATCTACCCCCGTTCTACAGAGTGAGAGAGTGGAGTTTGTATAATTTTCTGTTAAGGATACACGAGGGATATCTGTCTTCGTGTGTGGTCTTTGCAGATGTGGACGAATGCAAGCTGAACAGCGACAAATGTAACCAGACTTGCGTCAACACGAATGGGTCGTACATCTGCGAGTGTCAACCTGGCTTCTCTCTCAACGCTGATCTCTTCATGTGTGACGGTGAGACACGCACACAGACGAGTGTCCACACGTGAAGCCCAACACACTCAACACTTCCCCTAGACCCAACACTGCACCATAGATGCAACACTGCACCATAGACTCAACACTGCACCATAGACTCAACACTGCACCATAGACTCAACACTGCCACTCATAGACTCAACACTGCCACTCATAGACTCAACACTGCACCATAGACTCAACACTGCCACTCACAGACTCAACACTGCACCATAGACTCAACACTGCTCATAGACTCAACACTGCCACTCATAGACTCAGCACTGCCACTCATAGACTCAACACTGCACAATAGACTCAACACTGCTCATAGAATCAACACTGCTCATAGACTCAGCACTGCCACTCATAGACTCAACATTGCACCATAGACTCAGCACTGCCACTCATAGACTCAACACTGCCACTCATAGACCCAGCACTGCACCATAGACTCAGCACTGCACCATAGACTCAACACTGCCATTAGTCTCAACACTGCCCATAGACTCAACACTGCCTATGGACTCAACACTCCCTGTAGATTCAGCGATACTCATAGCCTCAACCCTGGCCCTGTACATGAAGCAGCCCACTTTCCTAACTGCATTCCATTCCTCTCTCGAAGTCTCACCTATTCTCCATCCCCCATTCCCTATCCCCCTTGCCCCTCCACTCCTTGCCATAACCTCCACTACCCTTCCCTAACCCCCAAGGTAGCCTTCAATCAAGGCCACCACAATACTATCCAGCCCACCACAATACTATCCAGGCCACCACAATACTATCCAGGCCACCACAACACTATCTAGGCCACCACAATACTATCCAGCCCACCACAATACTATCCAGCCCACCACAATACTATCCAGGCCACCACAATACTATCCATGCCACCACAATGGTACCCTGACCACCACAATACTATCCAGCCCACCACAATACTATCCAGCCCACCACAATACTATCCAGGCCACCACAATACTATCCAGGCCACCACAATACTATCCAGCCCACCACAATTCTATCCAGCCCACCACAATACTATCCAGGCCACCACAATACTATCCAGGCCACCACAATACTATCCAGGCCATCACAATACTATCCAGGCCACCACAATACTATCCAGCCCACCACAATACTATCCAGCCCACCACAATACTATCCAGGCCACCACAATACTATCTAGGCCACCACAATACTATCCAGCCCACCACAATACTATCCAGCCCACCACAATACTATCCAGGCCACCACAATACTATCCAGGCCACCACAATGGTACCCTGACCACCACAATACTATCCAGCCCACCACAATACTATCCAGGCCACCACATTACTATCCAGCCCACCACAATACTATCCAGGTTACCACAATACTCTCCAGGCTACCACAATACTATCCAGGCCATCACAATACTATCCAGCCCACCACAATACTATCCAGGCCACCACAATACAATCCAGCCCACCACAATACTATCCAGTCCATCACAATACTATCCAGGCCACCACAATGGTACCCTGACCACCACAATACTCTCCAGGCCACCACAATACTATCGAGGCCACCACAGCGCTAACGTACGCTCATGCCCATTTCGTTTGACAGACATCAACGAGTGCACTGGTGGCACGGCCCCCTGCCAACAGATCTGCACGGACTCCTACGGGTCGTATGCCTGCTCGTGCAACCCTGGATTCTTGCTGTCAGCAGACAAGCACTCGTGCGTGGGTGAGTCGGCCTCGCACACAGATACAGGCAAAGGTGTCCCTCCCATGTGGCCTCTAACAGACTCCCGGGGCAAGTGCAGTTTGTGCCGTAGCACGGCACACGAGGGGGTGGGTGGGTCGTACACGTGCAAAGATAAAGGTCACCCTCATGGCCTCTAACTGACTGTCGGGGCAAGCACTGTCTGTCTGCAATGAGCAGCGCCTATGAAGGCCAGCACGGCACACGAGGGGGACGTCTGGCTGAGCCGCGCACGCGCGCATATACAGCGGCGACTCCTCCACCTACTGGACATTCGACTTGTGAACTTTCAGAGATACGAACGAACCTGGTCCGTTGTGTCCAGTTGCCGTTCGGACCGAGAGTCGTAAGTTCAACCGTCGCGAAACAGATGGCGGTGGTGGCATCTACATCTGCAGAACGTGAAGAACCAGTGGCATCTACATCTGCAGAACATGAAGAACCAGTGGCATCTACATCTGCAGAACGTGAAGAACCAGTGGCATCTACATCTGCAGAACGTGAAGAACCAGTGGCATCTTCATCTACAGAACGTGAAGAACCAGTGGCATCTACATCTACAGAACGTGAAGAACCAGTGGCATCTACATCTGCAGAACGTGAAGAACCAGTGGCATCTACATCTGCAGAATGTGAAGACCCAGTGGCATCTACATCTGCAGAATGTGAAGACCCAGTGGCATCTACATCTGCAGAACTTGAAGAACCAGTGTTATCTGCATCTGCAGAACATGAACCGGTGGCTTCTACAGGAGATTATAATTTTTTTAAAGCCATTCCGATGTTTAGTGTACATGCCGTACAACACGTTAGGAATCGCCAGGAGTGAAGTTGAACTTACAAACAGATCAACTGAGGAACACACCTCTGGAAACAACCTCGTTCGTAAGTCGAGGAGTCCCTTGGAGTGTAGTATGTATTGTAGTGCAGTGTGTACGGTAGTGTAATTTGTACAGTGGTGTAGTGTGTATATAATGTAGTATAGTAGTGTATAATATATAGTAGCACTCTACACGCCGTACAATACGTTAGGAATCGACTGGAGTGAATTTGGACCTAGGAAGAGACCTCTGGCACCTAACTCGTTCACAACTAGAGTGGTCCCTGTAGGTCAGGGGCGGGGAACGTCCGGCCCGTGGGCCGTATGAGGCCCACGAAATCATTTAGTCTCTGGCCCTGCCAAGGCAACCGCAGGCGGGACTCGAAATTCAGTAAATCTAGGAGAGCAAAACCTGGAAAAGCAGTTGCGAGTAGCGGCATCATCAATACCAGCTAACATCATCAATATCAGCTAACATCATCAATACCAGCTAACATCATCAATACCAGCTAACATCGTCAATACCAGCTAACATCATCAATACCAGCTAACATCATCAATACCAGCTAACATCATCAATACCAGCTAACATCATCAATACCAGCTAACATCGTCAATACCAGCTAACATCATCAATACCAGCTAACATCATCAATACCAGCTAACATCATCAATACCAGCTAACATTGTCAACACCAGCAAACATCATCAACACCAGCTAACATCATCAACACCAGCTAACATCGTCAACACCAGCAAACATCATCGCACGCCTCGCCAAAGAGAATCAGTTCCATCCCCATCGCATTCGGGGGCGAGTTCATCAAATGTCTGACCAAATATAACGAACTACTTTCAAAGTTGATAATTGTGTATGGGCCCGCGGGTGATGTCGTAAATATCCCGATGGCCCTTGGCATAAGGAAGGTCCCCCTGCTGTAAGTAAAACAAAAACTAAAAAAACCCCGGTGTTGCCTCACCGCTAACCCCGCCAGACGTGAACGAGTGCGACTCAGCCAACGGCGGATGCGCTCAGATCTGCGACAACACTAACGGGAGCTACGCCTGTGCCTGCAAGCCGGGCTACACGCTCAACGCCGACGGTCACCTTTGCGACGGTGAGTTGGGAGCGTGCCGGAGCGAGGGGAGCGTCCGTGGGCGAACCGCATCGCCGCCAAGCCTGGCGGCGGTACGTCGGCGGTACGTCGGTACGGCGAACTGAAACTTAAACCGGGAACTGTTTTTTGGTATTTTTTTTAGAGGCAGGGCCCCCCGCCCGCCCCCCACTGATGCGTTGGCGTGGACCTTTTTTGCTTCTTCGGAAGTGACCCCTGGTTATCGCAAATCGGTAGCTGCTCGTCATCGTCAACGTAGCCGCGTGGGAATTCACGGCTGCTGTCAAATGAATTTCGATTTGAAGCCCCCGTGACTGCAAGGGTTCGTCGTCTTTGGTTCTTGCGGTAAGGTCACCACGTGGAATGAGAATAAAATAATTAAATAGCACAGTAAAATTCTCACGACTGATTCGGCCACAACGCAAGCCTGCCGAAACGTCGTGAGAATTTTATCGCGTTTACTTGATTATTTTAGTCTCATTCTACGTGACTTTGCCGAATAGAACCAAGGAAGACGGTCGTCAAATACTCTGAGAGCCAAACAACTTGCGTCGCATTTCTTATTTACTTAAAGCTTTCGTGACGGCAGGGATTCATATTCTGGCCTCCAACTTATGTTACTTTTACCAGGTAAGTCCATTGAGCGATGTAGCCCTTTAGCAGAAGCGGCCTCGCAAATCACAAATGATGGCCCCAACAAATCAGACTGCCTTGTTGCAGCGGTTTCTAACGCGAACAGCTTGAAAACGTTATCTTCGTTAGGCAATTCAAGTTGTAGGCATCGTTACGTTTTTGATTTTTTTTTTTAAACGCGACAAAACGATTGAGAGAAAGTAATTTTTATTATTAGAAATTATAATTTCTGGTCTCCGGCTGCTGGGTGGGGCGATGCCTCAACGCCACCTAGAGGACGAACCGAGCCAGGGCTATGCGCTCTCGAGATGAGAGAGAGGGAGAGAAAGCGTTTGCTCGTTCGTTCATGAAATAATTCAGAATTGTTACGCCAGTGGGAAAATTATACCAATAAAGCCACGCCTTGATTAAATACGTGAGGCTTAATACACACACCCACACGCTCACCCACACGCTCACCCACACGCTCACCCACACACACACCCACACGCTCACCCACACGCTCACCCACACACTCACCCACACACACACCCACACACTCACCCACACACTCAACCACCCACTCAACCATCCACTCACACGCTCACCCACACGCTCACCCACACGCTCACCCACACACACACCCACACACACATCCACACACCCACACACTCACCCACACACACACCCACACACTCACCCACTCACACGCTCACCCACCCACCCACACGCTCACCCACACGCTCACACACACACACACACATCCACACACCCACACACTCACCCACACACTCACCCACCCACACGCTCACCCACTAACCCACACACTCACTCACACACTCACCCACACACTCACCCACCCACCCACACACCCACCCACAAACTCCCTCACCCACCCACACACTCACCCACTAACCCACACACTCACCCACACACTCACCCACCCACCCACACACTCACCCACCCACTCACACACTCACCAAAACACCCACACACTCACCCACACACTCACTCACCCACACACTCACCCACCCACTCACACACTCACCCACACACTCACCCACACACTCACCCACACACTCACTCACCCACCCACACACTCACCCACTAACCCACACACTCACCCACTAACCCACACACCCACACACTCACACACTCACCCACACACTCACACGCTCACCTACACACTCACCCACCCACCCACACACTCACCCACCCACACACTCACCCACCGATTCACCCAACCACTCACCCAACCACTCACTGAGTCACCAACTCACTCACCCACTCACACACTCACCCACTCACCCACCCACTCACGCACTCACCCACCGACTGACCCACACACTCAGTCACCCACTCAATCATTCATCCACCCACGCTCAGCCACTCACCCACCCACTGACTAACCCACCCACCCACCCACACACTCGCTCACCCACCCACCCACTAAAGTAAAGAATTGTCAAATCAGTGTATGCATGTGACGATGATGTTGGTGGCGGCACTGAGAGGCAGATTTGTGGCAAGACGCGTCTCTGTGTGTTATCAGAAACATAATTGACTTGTGACTCACACTGCTTACACACAACACACACACACAACAACACAACACCACAACAACAACACAACACACACCACAACACCACAACAACACAACACACACACCACAACAACACAACAACACAACACACACACACAACACCACAACACACACCACAACAACACACACAACAACACAACACCACAACACACACCACAACACACACCACAACACACACCACAACAACACAACACACACCACAACACACACCACACACACCACAACACACACCACAACAACACAACAACACACACCACAACACACACCACACACACCACAACACACACCACAACAACACAACAACACACACCACAACACACACCACAACACACACACAACACACACCACTACAACACACACCACTACAACACACACAACACACACCACAACAACACACACAACACCCACCACTACAACAACACCACAACACACACCACAACAACACCACAACACACACCACAACACCACACCACCACGACAACACCACGACACACACCACAACAACACCACCACAACACCACCACAACACCACGACACACACACACACACACACCACCACGACAACACCACGACACACACCACAACACCACACCACCACGACAACACCACGACACACACCACAACAACACCACGACACACACCACACCACCACAACAACACCACGACACACACACACACACCACCACGACAACACCACGACACACACACGGCCCTCTCTCCCCACCGCCAGACGTGGATGAGTGCACACTGAATACCGCCGCCTGCCAGGATTCGTGCACCAACAACGTGGGCTCCTTCGCCTGCTCCTGTCCCGTCGGCTTCAAGCTGCAGGCTGATGGGAAGAGCTGCTCAGGTGAGCCACGGGTGGACGGGTGAGCCACGGGCGAGTGTGTGGGTGAGTGTGTGGGTGAGTGTGTGGGTGAGTGTGCGGGTGAGCGGGTGGGTGAGTGTGTGGGTGAGTGTGTGGGTGAGCGGGTGGGTGAGTGTGTGGGTGAGCGTGCGGGTGAGTGTGTGGGTGAGTGTGTGGGTGAGTGGGTGGGTGAGTGTGTGGGTGAGCGTGCGGGTGGGCGGGTGAGCGGGTGGGTGAGCGTGCGGGTGAGTGTGTGGGTGAGTGTGTGGGTGAGTGTGTGGGTGAGTGGGTGGGTGAGTGTGTGGGTGAGTGTGTGGGTGAGTGGGTGGGTGAGCGTGTGGGTGAGTGTGCGGGTGAGCCACGGGTGGGCGGGTGAGCGGGTGGGTGAGCGTGCGGGTGAGTGTGTGGGTGAGTGTGTGGGTGAGTGGGTGGGTGAGTGTGTGGGTGAGTGTGTGGGTGAGTGGGTGGGTGAGCGGGTGGGTGAGTGTGTGGGTGAGCGGGTGGGTGAGTGTGCGGGTGAGTGTGTGGGTGAGTGTGTGGGTGAGTGTGCGGGTGAGTGTGCGGGTGAGTGTGTGGGTGAGTGTGTGGGTGAGTGTGCGGGTGAGCCACGGGTGGGCGGGTGAGCGGGTGGGTCAGCGTGCGGGTGAGTGTGTGGGTGAGTGTGTGGGTGAGCGGGTGGGTGAGTGTGTGGGTGGGTGTGTGGGTGAGTGTGTGGGTGAGCGTGCGGGTGAGTGTGTGGGTGAGTGTGTGGGTGAGTGGGTGGGTGAGTGTGTGGGTGAGTGTGTGGGTGAGTGTGTGGGTGAGCGGGTGGGTGAGTGTGTGGGTGAGCGTGTGGGTGAGTGTGTGGGTGAGTGTGTGGGTGAGTGTGTGGGTGAGTGTGTGGGTGAGTGTGCGGGTGAGCGTGCGGGTGGGCGGGTGAGCGGGTGGGTGAGCGTGTGGGTGAGTGGGCGGGTGAGTGTGTGAGTGAGCGTGAGTGGTTGAGTGAGTAGGTTGCCGATCCCCTGTGTATGTTACAACCGATTCATGGTCCACGGTGCTCCTGTGTGTGTGTGTGTCTGTCTGTGTGTGTGTCTGTGTGTCTGTGTGTGTCTGTTTGTGTCTGCGTGTGTCTGCGTGTGTCTGCGTGTGTCTGTGCGTGTGTGTCTGCGTGTGTCTGCGTGTGTGTCTGTGTGTGTGTCTGTGTGTGTCTGTGTGCGTGTGTCTGTGTGTGTGTCTATGTGTCTGTGTGTGTGTGTGTTTGTGTGTGTCTGTGTGTGTCTGTGTGTGTGTGTGTCTGTGTGTGTGTCTATGTGTCTGTGTGTGTGTGTGTGTCTGTGTGTGTCTGTGTGTGTCTGTGTGTGTGTCTGTGTTTGCGTATTCCGTGTCCCGTATCCGCAGACATCAACGAATGTGCCGACCCAGCGCTCAGCGGCTGCAGCGACTTTTGCATCAACACGAACGGCTCCTTCAAGTGCGGCTGCCACCCTGGATATCAGCTGTTCAACAAGACCGCTTGCCAAGGTAGAGACCTCGCCTCTCGTGGCACGCGGGCGCGGGAGACGGCGTGTGTTTGGTAAACTTCTTTCGCACCGTACGGAGGCAGTCCCGCTCATATGGGTCTCTGTGTGGTGAGTCTGTGGGTCTCTGTGTGGTGAGTCTGTGGGTGTCTGTGTGGTGAGTCTGTGGGTGTCTGTGTGGTGAGTCTGTGGGTGTCTGTGTGGTGAGTCTGTGGGTCTCTGTGTGGTGAGTCTGTGGGTGTCTGTGTGGTGAGTCTGTGTGGTGAGTCTATGGGTCTCTGTGTGGTGAGTCTATGGGTCTCTGTGTGTGACTCTGTGTGGGTCTCTGTGTAGTGAGTCTGTGGGTTTCTGTGTGGTGAGTCTGTGGGTCTCTGTATGGTGAGTCTATGGGTCTCTGTGTGGTGAGTCTGTGGGTCTCTGTGCGGTGAGTCTGTGGGTCTCTGTGTGGTGAGTCTGTGGGTCTCTGTGTGGTGAGTCTGTGGGTCTCTGTGTGGTGAGTCTGTGGGTCTCTGTGCGGTGAGTCTGTGGGTCTCTGTATGGTGAGTCTGTGGGTCTCTGTGTGTGAGTCCATGGGTCTCTGTGTGTGAGTCCATGGGTCTCTGTGTGTGACTCTGTGTGGGTCTCTGTGTAGCGAGTCTGTGGGTTTCTGTGTGGTGAGTCTGTAGGTTTCTATATGGTGAGTCTATGGGTCTCTGTGCGGTGAGTCTGTGGGTCTCTGTGTGTGAGTCCATGGGTCTCTGTGTGTGACTCTGTGTGGGTCTCTGTGTAGTGAGTCTGTGGGTTTTTGTGTGGTGAGTCTGTGGGTCTCTGTATGGTGAGTCTATGGGTCTCTGTGTGGTGAGTCTGTGGGTCTCTGTGTGGTGAGTCTGTAGGTCTCTGTATGGTGAGTCTATGGGTCTCTGTGTGATGAGTCTGTGGGTCTCTGTGTGGTGAGTCTGTGGGTCTCTGTGTGGTGAGTATGTGGGTCTCTGTGTGGTGAGTCTATGGGTCTCTGTGTGGTGAGTCTATGGGTCTCTGTGTGGTGAGTCTGTGGGTCTCTGTGTGTGAGTCCATGGGTCTCTGTGTGTGACTCTGTGTGGGTCTCTGTGTGGTGAGTCTGTGGGTTTCTGTGTGGTGAGTCTGTGGGTCTCTGTATGGTGAGTCTATGGGTCTCTGTGTGGTGAGTCTGTGGGTCTCTGTGTGGTGAGTCTGTAGGTCTCTGTATGGTGAGTCTATGGGTCTCTGTGTGATGAGTCTGTGGGTCTCTGTGTGGTGAGTCTGTGGGTCTCTGTGTGGTGAGTATGTGGGTCTCTGTGTGGTGAGTCTATGGGTCTCTGTGTGGTGAGTCTATGGGTCTCTGTGTGGTGAGTCTGTGGGTCTCTGTGTGTGAGTCCATGGGTCTCTGTGTGTGACTCTGTGTGGGTCTCTGTGTGGTGAGTCTGTGGGTTTCTGTGTGGTGAGTCTGTGGGTCTCTGTATGGTGAGTCTATGGGTCTCTGTGTGGTGAGTCTATGGGTCTCTGTGTGTGACTCTGTGTGGGTCTCTGTGTAGTGAGTCTGTGGGTTTCTGTGTGGTGAGTCTGTGGGTCTCTGTATGGTGAGTCTATGGGTCTCTGTGTGGTGAGTCTGTGGGTCTCTGTGCGGTGAGTCTATGGGTCTCTGTGTGGTGAGTCTGTGGGTCTCTGTGTGGTGAGTCTGTGGGTCTCTGTGTGGTGAGTCTGTGGGTCTCTGTGCGGTGAGTCTGTGGGTCTCTGTATGGTGAGTCTGTGGGTCTCTGTGTGTGAGTCCATGGGTCTCTGTGTGTGAGTCCATGGGTCTCTGTGTGTGACTCTGTGTGGGTCTCTGTGTAGCGAGTCTGTGGGTTTCTGTGTGGTGAGTCTGTAGGTTTCTGTATGGTGAGTCTATGGGTCTCTGTGCGGTGAGTCTGTGGGTCTCTGTGTGTGAGTCCATGGGTCTCTGTGTGTGACTCTGTGTGGGTCTCTGTGTAGTGAGTCTGTGGGTTTTTTGTGTGGTGAGTCTGTGGGTCTCTGTATGGTGAGTCTATGGGTCTCTGTGTGGTGAGTCTGTGGGTCTCTGTGTGGTGAGTCTGTAGGTCTCTGTATGGTGAGTCTATGGGTCTCTGTGTGATGAGTCTGTGGGTCTCTGTGTGGTGAGTCTGTGGGTCTCTGTGTGGTGAGTATGTGGGTCTCTGTGTGGTGAGTCTATGGGTCTCTGTGTGGTGAGTCTATGGGTCTCTGTGTGGTGAGTCTGTGGGTCTCTGTGTGTGAGTCCATGGGTCTCTGTGTGTGACTCTGTGTGGGTCTCTGTGTGGTGAGTCTGTGGGTTTCTGTGTGGTGAGTCTGTGGGTCTCTGTATGGTGAGTCTATGGGTCTCTGTGTGGTGAGTCTGTGGGTCTCTGTGTGGTGAGTCTGTGGGTCTCTGTATGGTGAGTCTATGGGTCTCTGTGTGATGAGTCTGTGGGTCTCTGTGTGGTGAGTCTGTGGGTCTCTGTGTGGTGAGTATGTGGGTCTCTGTGTGGTGAGTCTATGGGTCTCTGTGTGGTGAGTCTATGGGTCTCTGTGTGGTGAGTCTGTGGGTCTCTGTGTGTGAGTCCATGGGTCTCTGTGTGTGACTCTGTGTGGGTCTCTGTGTGGTGAGTCTGTGGGTTTCTGTGTGGTGAGTCTGTGGGTCTCTGTATGGTGAGTCTATGGGTCTCTGTGTGGTGAGTCTGTGGGTCTCTGTGTGTGACTCTGTGTAACTTTATGCGTGTATGTGTCTGTGTTAAACTTCTTTCGCACCGTGCGGTAGCCAGCCACGCTAATCGGAGGTGCGGGGGAAAGCACAACAACAACCTAAACACGACACGCAGGCTAACAACGAAGCATTACTCACTCTATATATTACAACAACAACAACAAAATGTTTAATGTCACCAGGTAAGGCTCACCGAGCTGTACAGCTCTCATTGAGAAGCGAGCTGGGCACAGTGCCGGTCTTCACAGCTGCTACCTGGCCAACAGCACTCGCCCCAGCAGCCTGTTGAGGCTGTACGGGCGATCTTTGTCTCTGTGCGGGTCAGCGAGAGTGGGCGTCCGTCCGTACGTGCGCGTCCCTTGCAAGCATCAGGGTCTCCGTTGCTGGCAAATAAAAAAAAGCAGGCGGTGCTGAGACGCTCGGGGCACCAAACTGAATCACCTTTCGCAGGGAAGCGTACGCCGCATGAAGCCTCACTCACCCGTGAGGAGCGTGCACACAAAGATCAAAGATCCCCCGTGTAGCCTTAACAGACTGTTGGGGCAAGTGCTGTTAGCGAGCAGCACCTGTGAAGGCCGGAACGGTACACGAGGGGGTGGGTGGCCAGCACCACGCCCGACCGCCTTTGTCTCCCCCAGTGGCGATGTTTACTACACACCGCACCAGGTACTCATTTGAGGCCGAGTCGACCTAGGGGAGGCCCGGGACCGGTTCAGATAATCGTCACTGGCGGTGTTGGCCGTGAGCGGGCATCGAACCCCGTGTCGCCGGGTTCATAGCGCTAACTGCTACACACACACACGCGCACACACACGCCAAACAAACCACGCTCTGCTGGTGTATGATGATGCTGATGATGATGGTGGTGATGATGACGCGTTGTCCCTGTGATGTTCGCCTTTTGGAGTCCTCTCGTCTGAGGCTGGTGGTGTGGACCAATCCGATTCGAAGAGAAGGCACCGCACACGAGCGGAGAGAGAGAGAGCGTGGCTGTCTTCCATCACGTGCTGCGCGGTCAATCACAGCGCGCGGAACCCTTGCGGAAGGATTTTCACTTCGGCGTTTTGACACCCCCCCCCCCTTGCCCCTAACCCCCCAGCAGTCTGTTGAGGCTACGCGGGTGACCTTTGCCTTTACCTTTGCCCGCGCCCCCACGCAGACATCGACGAGTGTGCCAGCAGCAACGGGAATTGCCAACAGCTGTGCGTCAACAGCCCGGGCTCCTTCTCGTGCAAGTGCGACGTGGGCTACGTGCTGCTGGACAACGAGAGCGCATGCATGAGTATGTCGGCGTGGTGGTGGTGGTGGTGGCGGTGGTGGTGGTGGTGATGGTGGTGGTGATGGTGGTGGTGGTGATGGTGGTGGTGGTGGTGATGGTGGTGGCGGTGGTGGTGGTGGTGGTGGTGGCGGTGGTGGTAGTGGTGGTGGTGGTGGTGATGGTGGTGGTGGTGGTGGTGTTGGTTGCGGTGGTGGTAGTGGTGGTGGTGATGGTGGTGGTGGTGATGATGGTGGTGGTGGTGATGGTGGTGGTGGTGATGGTGGTGGTGGTGGTGATGGTGGTGGTGGTGGTGATGGTGGTGGTGATGGTGGTAGTAGTGATGGTGGTGGTGGTGTTGGTGGTGATGGTGGTGGTGATGGTGGTGGTGATGGTGGTGGTGGTGGTGGCGGTGGTGGTGGTGTTGGTGGTGGTGGTGGTGGTGATGATGGTAGTGGTGGTAGTGGTGGTGATGGTGGTGGTGATGGTGGTGGTAGTGGTGGTGAAGGTGGTGGTGGTGGTGATGGTGGTGGTGGTGGTGATGGTGGTGGTGGTGATGGTGGTGGTGGCGGTGGTGATGGTGGTGGTGGTGGCGGTGATGGGGGGGGGGGTTACTACTCGTCTTGTCCACTGCTGGATGGATGGCCTGAGGTGCCCCCGCCTCTCTCTCTTTCTCTCTCCGTGTGACTGCTGCTGCCGTTCAGGATCAATCCGATTGAATACTGGCAGCAAATCCGATGAGCCATGAAGCTCTTTGCTCGCACTGCCTTCTCTCTCTCACAGAGTGTGGTGGTAGCATGTCCCTGTTGTCGGCAAATCCGATGAGCTATGAAGCTCTTTGCTCCCACTCCCTTCTCTCTCTCACAGAGTGCGGTGGTAGCATGTCTCTGCTGTCGGTGAATCCGATGAGCTATGAAGCTCTTTGCTCCCACTCTCTTCTCTCTCTCTCACAGAGTGCGGTGGTAGCATGTCCCTTCTGTCGGTGAATCCGATGAGCTATGAAGCTCTTTGATTGCACTCCCTTCTCTCTCTCACAGAGTGTGGTGGTAGCATGTCTCTGCTGTCGGACTCCATCTCGTCTCCCGGCTACCCTTACATCGGCTTCGCGGTGTCCGAGACGTGCACGTGGAACATCACACTGCCCCAGTTCTACCGGGTCAACATCACCTGCGGACAAGTGCTGTGAGTTCTACACGCGCGGCCTGCGTGTGTGTGTCTCGTCCGTCCGTCCGTCAGAAAATTCCTCACGTGTGTCCTTCTGACTGTCCATCCATCCGTTTGTCCATCTGTCTGACTGTCCATCTGTCCGTGTGTCCGTCTGACTGTCCATCTGTCCGTCTGTCCATCTGTCTGACTGTCCATCTGTCCGTCTGCCCATCTGTCTGACTGTCCATCTGTCCGTGTGTCCGTCTGACTGTCCATCCATCCGTCTGTCCATCTGTCTGACTGTCCATCCGTCCGTCTGTCCGTCTGTCTGACTGTCCATCCATCCGTCTGCCCATCTGTCTGACTGTCCATCTGTCCGTCTGCCCATCTGTCTGACTGTCCATCTGTCCGTGTGTCCGTCCGACTGTCCATCCATCCGTCTGTCCATCTGTCTGACTGTCCATCCGTCCGTCTGTCCATCTGTCTGACTGTCCATCCATCCATCCGTCTGTCCATCTGTCTGACTGTCCATCTGTCCGTGTCTCCGTCCAACTGTCCATCCATCCGTCTGTCCATCTGTCTGACTGTCCATCCGTCCGTCTGTCCATCTGTCTGACTGTCCATCCATCCGTCTGTCCATCTGTCTGACTGTCCATCTGTCCGTGTGTCCGTCCGACTGTCCGTCCGACTGTCCATCCATCCGTCTGTCCATCTGTCTGACTGTCCATCCATCCGTCTGTCCATCTGTCTGACCGTCCATTCATCCGTCTGTCCACCTGTCTGACTGTCCATCTGTCTGTCTGACCGTCCATCCATCCGTGTGTTGTCCGCCCCGTCCCCACGCACGCAGGTTTGGCGATGCGGGGTTGTGCACCTACGCCAACATGAGCCTCGTGCTCTCCGCCACGTCCACCAAGAAAGTGTGCAAGGCGCTCACCGCCCCGGCGCTCAGCTCTGCCAACTTCCTCCTGCTCGACTACTACAACTCGGGCACAGGGCTCGACACGGGCTTCCAGTGCAGCTACTCCTCCTGTACGCGGACACCAACACCAACACCACCACCAACACCACCGCTCACCACCACCATCACCACCACCACCACCACTACCACCGCTCACCACCACCACCACCACTCCCCACCATCGCTCCCCACCACCACCACTCACCACCACCACCACCACCGCTCACCACCACCACCACTCACCACCACCACCACCGCTCACCACCACCACCGCTCACCACCACCACCACCACCGCTCACTACCACCACCACCACCACTCCCCACCATCGCTCCCCACCACCACCACTCACCACCACCACCGCTCACCACCACCAGCACCACCACCACTCACCTCCACCACTGCTCACCACCACCACCACCGCATCCCACCACCAGCACCACCACCACTCACCACCACCACCACTGCTCACCACCACTACCGCTCACCACCACCACCACCACTCCCCACCATCGCTCCCCACCACCACCACTCACCACCACCACCGCTCACCATCACCACCACCACTCACCACCACCACCGCTCACCACCACCACTCACCACCACCACCGCTCACCACCACCACCGCTCACCACCACCACCAGCACCACCACCACCACCACCACCGCTCACCACCACCACCACTACCACCACCACCACCACTCACCACCACCACCGCTCACCACCACCACCACTACCACCACTCCCCACCACCACTCACCACCACTCCCCACCACCACCACCGCTCACCACCACCACCACCACCACTCACCACCACCGCTCCCCACCACCACCACAACCACCACTCCCCACCACCACCACTCCCCACCACCACCACTCCCTACCACCACCGCTCCCCACCACCACCACTCACCATCACCACTACCACCACTCCTCACCACCACCACTCACCATCACCACCACCACCGCTCACCACCACCACCACCACCGCTCCCCACCACCACCACTACCACCACTCTTCACCACCACCACTCACCACCACCACAACCACTACCACTGCTCACCACCACCGCCACCACTCCCTACCACCACCGCTCACCACCACCACCACCGCTCCCCACCACCACCAATCACCATCACCATCACCACCGCTCCCCACCACCACTCCCCACCACCACTCACCACCACCACTCACCACCACCACCACCACTACCACCGCTCCCCATCACCACCACATCCGCTCCCCACCACCGCTCCCCACCACCGCTCCCCACCACCACCACTACCACCACTCCCCACAACCACCACTCACACCACCACTACCACCGCTCCCCAACACCACCACCACCACCACCACTCCCTACCACCACGCTCCCCACCACCACCACCACTACCACAGCTCCCCACCACCACCACCACCGCTCCCCACCACCACCACCACCGCTCCCCACCACCGCTCCCCACCACCACCACCACTACCACAGCTCCCCACCACCACCACCACCGCTCCCCACCACCACCACCACTATCACCACTCCCCACCACCACCACTCACCACCACCACAACCACGACCACCGCTCCCCACCACCACCACCACTCCCCACCACCACCACTCACCACAACCACCACCGCTCCCTACCACCACCACTCCCCACCACCACCAGCAATGGCCGTGCCGTGACCACGTGTCTCTCTCCCGTCGGCAGTTTACCGCAGGAGGGTGACGCTCACCGCCGCCACGGGCAGCTTCATGGCTCCCAACGAGACGGCGACCACGTTCGCGAGTAACGCCAACCTCACCGTCACCATCACACGCACCGGCAAGTTCATCTGCACCAAGTTCAGCTCCTTCAGGTGAGTCGACCGGTTTCTTATTTGTTTTAAAGTCTCATCCCTCTCTCTCCCTCTGTGTCTCTCTCTGTCTCTCTGTGTCTCTCTCTGTGCCTCTCTCTGTGTCTCCCTCTCTGTGTCTCTGTGTCTCTCTCTGTGTCTCTCTCTGTGTCTCTCTGTGTCTCTGTGTCTCTCTGTGTGTCTCTGTGTCTCTGTGTCTCTCTCTGTGTCTCTCTGTGTGTCTCTGTCTCTCTCTGTGTCTCTCTGTGTCTCTCTCTGTGCCTCTGTGTGTCTCTCTCTCTGTCTCTCTGTGTCTCTCTCTGTGTCTCTCTGTGTGTCTCTGTGTGTCTCTGTCTCTCTGTGCCTCTCTCTGTGTCCCTCTGTGTCTCTCTCTGTGTCTCTCTCTGTGTCTCTCTGTGTCTCTCTCTGTGTCTCTCTCTGTGTCTCTGTGTGTCTCTGTCTCTATGTGCCTCTCTCTGTGTCTCTCTATGTGTCTCTGTGTCTCTCTCTGTGTCTCTGTGTGTCTCTGTGTCTCTCTGTGTCTCTCTGTGTCTCTCTCTGTGTCTCTGTGTGTGTCTCTGTGTCTCTCTGTGTCTCTCTGTGCCTCTCTCTGTGTCCCTCTGTGTCTCTCTTTGTGTGTCTCTGTGTCTCTCTCTCTCCCTCTGTGTCTCTTTGTGTCTCTCTGTGTGTCTCTGTGTCTCTCTCCGTGTCTCTCTGCGTGTCTCTGTGTCTCTCTGTGTGTCTCTCTCTGTGTCTCTCTCTCTGTGTCTCTGTGTCTCTCTGTGTCTCTCTGTGTGGCTCTGTGTCTCTCTCTGTGTCTCTCTGTGTGTCTCTGTGTCTCTCTCTGTGTCTCTGTGTCTCTCTGTGTGTCTCTGTGTCTCTGTGTCTCTGTGTCTCTCTGTGTGTCTCCGTCTCTCTCTGTGTCTCTGTGTCTCTCTGTGTGTCTCTGTGTCTCTGTGTCTCTGTGTGTCTCTCTGTGTCTCTGTGTTTCTCTGTGTCTCTCTCTGTGTCTCTCTGTGTGTATCTGTGTCTCTCTCTGTGTGTCTCTCTGTGTCTCTCTGTGTGTCTCTGTGTCTCTCTGTGTGTCTCTGTGTCTCTCTGTGTCTCTGTGTCTCTCTCTGTGTCTCTGTGTCTCTCTCTGTGTCTCTCTGTGTGCCTCTGTCTCTCTCTGTGTCTCTCTGTGTCTCTGTGTCTCTCTCTGTGTCTCTCTGTGTGTCTCTGTGTCTCTCTCTGTGTCTCTCTCTGTGTCTCTCTGTGTCTCTGTGTCTCTCTGTGTGTCTCTGTGTCTCTCTGTGTCTCTGTGTCTCTCTGTGTGTCTCTGTGTCTCTCTGTGTCTCTGTGTCTCTCTCTGTGTCTCTCACTGTGTCTCTCTGTGTCTCTCTCTGTGTCTCTCTGTGTCTCTCTGTGTCTCTCTGTGTCTCTCTGTGTCTCTCTCTGTGTGTCTCCGTCTCTCTCTTGTTTCTCAACAATTGTGAGCTCATCTTTTTGGTTCTTTCGGTAAAGTCACGTAGAATGGAAATAAAATAATAAATAATAAAATTAAAACGAAATTAAATAAAAAATACTTTTTATTATTATTTTATTTCCATTCTACGTGATTTGACCGAAAGAACCAAAGAGTATGGATCCCTGCAGTCACGAAAGCTTCAAATCTAAACCCTTTGCTAATTGGACGTGTGTCGGGATGGGTGTCCGGTTTATACGACGCAACATTGATATCGTATTATTGGTTATTTCGGTAAAGTCACCACCACGTAGAAGGGAAACAATAAAATAATAAAAAAATATAAAACGATAAAATTATCACGACGTTTCGACTGCAACACAAGAAGCAATCATCATCAGGTGTGAAAACCACAGCAAGAAAATTTGGAAAAACGTGGCAGGTTTTTTTAACGTTAGCACCACGGAGAGCGATTTGACAGTTTATTCAGATGGACGAGTCCATCTATGTTCTTGGCTCTTTCGGTAAAGTCACGTTGAAGGGAAACAATAAAATAATAAAATATATAGTCTATCCATGTTCGGAAAAGAGGAGGGGGGAGACGAAAAATAATGGATGCGGTCTGAAAGCCACCGTAAGCGTGAACAATCAATTAAAACCCGAAATGCTTCATCAAATCCTTCCAATGATTGCTAAGCCAGAATCTTTAAAGAACACTTCTCATGGTGAGGTGATTACTACTAGCACTACTTCAGCAGTCTGTTTCTGGCTGTGGTTGTCCCACTTGATGAAGATTGCTTGCGAGCTGCGATGGAAACGTCGCAACCCATTATTATTTTTCTACCTCCGTGATGACTTTTACCGAAAGATCGCTGCAGTCACGAAAGCTTGAGAGTCAAGAAAGAGGGGATTTCTCAAAACCAAAGGAAGGAGCAGCAATGGGCTCTCCTTTATCTCCGGCTACAGCAAATCTGTACATGGGAAACTTTGAAACAAGAGCACTTGCCTCGAGTACATTAAAACCATCTTTTTGGTTGAGATATGTTGATGACACTTTGGTTGTCTGGCCACGTGGTAAAGATAACGCTTAATGATTTTCTAAATCATCTCAATTCACAAAACCCGGCCATCCAGTTCACCAAGATTGAAGAACATATCTCAATGGGTCACAGTTGCTATGATCACTGTTACATTGCTTTTATGGCTTTTATTTTGGTGATTTAAAAAAAACAAAAAATTGGTTTTGGCCCATGTTTCTTTTGTTGTGGTACCGAGTGATGACTGATGGCCTCAATCTAAAGTTGTCTTGTGGTTGTTGTGGTTGTTGTGGTTGTTGTTTGACTTGCATCCCACTGGGGATTTTTTGTGCACGGCGTTGGTTTGTGCACGGTGCTTTTTCTGCGATGTTTAGCCGTTTTCTTTTTTGTTTCATGGATTCTTGCGTTTGCACAAAGCCACTTTGGCCTGTCTCCTTGTTCGTGTATTTGTTGTTTCGCTTGTTGCGGTTGCGCCAGATTCAAGAGCCGAACGGCTCGCAGGGCCACACCAAATCAATGAAACTGAAAACTGACAACAACCTCCCCCTCCCCGGGCCCCACAGCCTCACGGGAGCGACCCCTTGCGGGTCGTCGGGAGACTTCCTGATGGTGTACGACAGCGCGACGACCCTGACCGGGTACCGGGCCACGCTTTGTGGCTCCGCCATCCCGCCGGCGATCCTCAGCATGGGCAGCTCCATCACGTTCAGCTTCATCAGCGACAACGTCGACTCCATCGGAGGCTTTGTGGCCGCCTACACGACCGGGTGAGCGAGCGGAGGCTCCGTCGCGATTGCCGCACTCTGGGATTTGTTGTTGTTTGTTGTCGTTGTTGATGTCGTTGTTGTTGATGTTGTTGTTTGTTGTTGTTGTTGTTTGTTGTTGTCGTTGTTGTTGTCGTTGTTGTTGTTAAATTTTGATTTAAAGCTTTCGTGACTGCAGTAATTCATATTCTTAGTTTTTTCGGTAAAATCACGTTGAAGAGAAACAACAAAATAACAAAATATATATAAAACAATAAAAAATTCTCACGACGTTTCGACCATAACTCAAACGGTCATCATCAACCAACACACCTGATGATGACCGTTTGAGTTATGGTCGAAACGTCGTGAGAATTTTTTATTGTTTTATATATATTTTGTTATTTTGTTGTTTCTCTTCAACGTGACTTTACCGAAAAAACTAAGAATATGTTGTTGTTGTTGTTGTCGTTGTTGTTGTTGTTGTCGTTGTTGTTGTTGTCGTTGTTGTTGTTGTTGTCGTTGTTGTCGTTGTCGATGTTGTTGTTGTTGTCGTTGTTGTTGTTGTTGATGTTGTTGTTGTTGTCGTTGTTGTTGTTGTTGTCGTCGTTGTTGTTGTTGTCGTTGTTGTTGTTGTCGTTGTTGTTGATGTTGTTGTTGTTGTCGTTGTTGTTGATGTTGTTGTTGATGTTGTTGTTGTTGTTGTCGTTGTTGTTGTTGTTGATGTTGTTGTAGTTGTTGTTGTTGTCGTTGTTGTTGTCGTTGTTGTTGTTGTTGTCGTTGTTGTTGTTGTTGTTGATGTTGTTGTTGTCGTTGTTGTTGTTGTTGTTGTTGTTTGTTGTTGTCGTTGTTGTTGTTGTTGTCGTTGTTGTCGTTGTCGATGTTGTTGTTGTTGTCGTTGTTGTTGTTGTTGATGTTGTTGTTGTTGTCGTTGTTGTTGATGTTGTTGTTGTTGATGTTGTTGTTGTTGTCGTCGTTGTTGTTGTTGTCGTTGTTGTTGTTGTTGTCGTTGTTGTTGATGTTGTTGTTGATGTTGTTGTTGTCGTTGTTGTCGTTGTTGTTGTTGTCGTTGTTGTTGTTGTTGTTCTTGTCGTTGTTGTTGTTGTTGTCGTTGTTGTCGTTGTTGTTGTTGTCGTTGTTGTCGTTGTTGTTGTCGTTGTTGTTGTTGTTGTTGATGTTGTCGTTGTTGTTGTTGTTGTTGTTGATGTTGTTGTCGTTGTTGTTCTTGTTGTTGTTGTTGTTGTTGTCGTTGTTGTCGTTGTTGTTGTTGTCGTTGATGTTGTTGTCGTTGTTGTTGTCGTTGTTGTTGTCGTTGTTGTCGATGTCGTTGTTGTTGTTGTTGTCGTTGGTTTATGAGCAGCCCCACGTAGGGTCACGGGTGGGGTGGCGGTGGGGGGGGGTGATTGATATACACTGCACTATACACTACATTACACACTACATTATACACTACATTACACTGCATTACACTGCACTATACACTACATTACACTGCATTACACTGCACTATACACTACATTACACTGCACTATACACTACATTGCACTGCATTACGCTGCACTATACACTACATTTTACATTACATTACACTACATTACACTGCACTATACACTACACTATACACTACTACACTATACACCACACTATACACTACACTATACACTACACTCTACACTACACTATACACTACTATACACTACACTATACACTACTATACACTATACACTACACTACACTATACACTACACTATACACTACACTATACACTACTATACACCACTACACTATACACTACACTATACACTACACTATACACTACACTATACACTACACTATACACTACTATACACCACTACACTATTCACTACACTATACACTACACTATACACTACACTACTATACACTACTATACACTACATTAAACACTACACTATACACTACACTATACACTAGTATACACTACACTATACACTACATTATACACTACACTATACACTACACTATACACTACACTATACACTTCACTATACACTACATTATACACTACACTATACACTACACTATACACTACACTATACACTATACACTACACTATACACTACACTATACACTGCACTATACACTACACTATACACAACACTACTATACACTACACTATACACTACACGCTTGCACGCATAATGCCTGGCGTCCGCGCGTCTTTGCCGGCAAAAAAAAAAAGTGGCATTTGCTTCTTTGCGAACCTTTTCGTACTGAACAAACTACTACTAATAATAATAATAATGAAGGTCCCCTCCCTATACGTAACAACAACAACAACAACTGCAACACCAACAACAAACAACAACAACGCGGCCATGCGGCATGTTGCGTTTCGTGACGCTTTTCCTGTCATCTCTCCCCCCGCAGGCTGGCGACAATGGCCTGCGTCTAGTGGGTGAACCGCTCGCGAGCAACAGCAAACGCTTCTCAAAGAAAACACAGAAACAGCGGCGGAACGACGGGCATCACGGACACTGACCTACGATCGGAGATGGCACAAAAATTATATATTAATATTAAGCAAAGCAAAGGAATATTGAGAAATCGAAATTGTTATGGCAGTGATCGCCGCTGCCAAGCATTGCAAGCTCCTAGTAGCAGGTCGCTGGCACTCACCACCACTCACCAGCTGCTACTCACCTGGCACTCACCACCACTCACCAGCTGTAACTCACCTGGCACTCACCACCACTCACCAGCGTCAACTCACCTGGCACTCACCACCACTCACCAGCTGCTACTCACCTGGCACTCACCACCACTCACCAGCGTCAACTCACCTGGCCCTCACCACCACTCACCAGCTGCTACTCACCTGGCACTCACCACCACTCACCAGCTGTAACTCACCTGACCCTCACCACCACTCACCAGCTGCTACTCACCTGACCCTCAACACCACTCACCAGCGTCAACTCACCTGACCCTCACCACCACTAACCAGCGTCAACTCACCTGGCCCTCACCACCACTCACCAGCGTCAACTCACCTGACCCTCACCACCACTCACCAGCTGTAACTCACCTGGCACTCACCACCACTCACCAGCTGCTACTCACCTGGCACTCACCACCACTCACCAGCGTCAACTCACCTGGCCCTCACCACCACTCACCAGCGTCAACTCACCTGACCCTCACCACCACTCACCAGCTGTAACTCACCTGGCACTCACCACCACTCACCAGCTGCTACTCACCTGGCACTCACCACCACTCACCAGCGTCAACTCACCTGGCCCTCACCACCACTCACCAGCGTCAACTCACCTGACCCTCACCAACACTCACCAGCTGCTACTCACCTGACCCTCACCACCACTCACCAGCGTCAACTCACCTGGCCCTCACCACCACTCACCAGCTGCCACTCACCTGACCCTCACCACCACTCACCAGCATCAACTCACCTGGCCCTCACCACCACTCACCAGCTGCTACTCACCTGTCCCTCACCACTCCTCACCAGCTGCTACTCACCTGTCCCTCACCACCACTCACCAGCTGCTACTCACCTGACCCTCACCACCACTCACCAATTTCCGTAGTACGGTTGTTGATAGACGTAAGCCCAAACTACATGAACGCCAATCCGGCTTATCCACAATAACAACAACATCATCAATCAATAATCATCTCGGTTAGAAATATATCTCTCTCTATATACAATCTGTAGCGACATTCACGCTAATTGCAGTTCAATGCACACAAATGATGGCGCTGCACAATACATTATATTGAGTAATCGCATTGAGTGGTGGGCGCGCGAAATCCCATTCTTGGCGGACGATGATTTGTGGCATCAAAGTGCCGCAAATGATAGCGTGAGAAAATGTAAAAAAAAAAAACCCGTTTAACAAGCAAATCAATAAGTGGTATAAACAGCAGAAGGTGGAGATCAAAATTTGAGGAGTTCAATTTCAAGAGTCTCAGCTGTTAAGTCTTTTGCAACGCTTGGAGTATCACGTGGTGTATCTTGCTGATTCAAATAAATATAATGACCTTGGCAATGACGAAAGTCCGTGACTCTGATTTATTTTGTAACAACAACAACATGAACAACAACAAAAACCGCAACTCATATTGGAAATAAGTCTCCAACTACAGCTGCCACTGGGGGTGCCCCTAGGCTATAGACACAGCACCAATCATAGCCCTACCTCCGCCTACCAGCAGACAACAGGGTGTCTCCTGCCACACAAGGACAGCTGCCACTGGGGGTGCCCCCTAGGCTATAGACACAGCACCAATCATAGCCCTACCTCCGCCTACTACCAGACAACAGGGTGTCTCCTGCCACACAGGGACAGCTGCCACTGGGGGTGCCCCTAGGCTATAGACACAGCACCAATCATAGCCCTACCTCCGCCTACTAACAGACAACAGGGTGTCTCCTGCCACACAGGGACAGCTGCCACTGGGGGTGCCCTTTCACACGTTAGTGATGTGATGTGACGGTGATGATGATGATGATGCAAGACGCGCTTGGGGCGTACATGACGCTTTATCTACACACGCGCGCGCACGCAAGGGGCCGCCCATAAATGACGTCACGCACCTGGGGGGGGAGGGTCAGACATTTGTGACGATGCGTGATGAGGGGGGGGGGGGAGTTTGAGAAATGTGACGTCACATCAAATAAATATAGAATTATATTTTTGGTTCTTTCGGTAAAGTCACCACCACGTAGCAGGGAAACAATAAAATAAAACAAATCTAAAACAATAAAATTCTCACGACGTTTCGACTGCAACACAAGATGCAATCATCGTCACGTGTGAAAACCACAACACGATTTTTTTTATATTATTTTATTGTTTCTCTTCTACGTGGTGGTGACTTTACCGAAAGAACCAAGAATATGAATCCCTGCAGTCACGAAAGCTTTAAATCAAAATATAGAATTGTTATAACAACACTAATTGTTATAACAACACTAATTGTTATAACGAAACTAATTATTATAACAACACTAATTATTATACCACTAATTATTATAACAACACTAATTGTTATAACAACACTAATTGCTATAGCAACACTAATTGTTATAACAACACTAATTGTTATAACAACACTAATTATTATAACAACACTAATTATTATAACAACACTAATTGTTATAACACCACTAATTATTATAACAACACTAATTATTATAACAACACTAATTGTTATAACAACACTAATTGTTATAACAACACTCATTATTATAACAAACTAAATATTATAACAACACTAATTATTATAACAACACTAATTGTTATAACAACACTAATTATTATAACAACACTAATTGTTATAACAACAGTCATTATTATAACAACACTAATTATTATAACAACACTAATTATTACAACAACACTAATTGTTATAACAACACTAATTGTTATAACAACACTAATTATTATAACAACACAAACAACACTAATTATTGTAACAACACTAATTATTATAACAACACTAATTATTATAACAACACTAATTGTTATAACAACACTAATTGTTATAACAACACTAATTGTTATAACAACACTAATTGTTATAACAACACTAATTGTTATAACAACACTAATTGTTATAACAACACTAATTATTATAACAACACTAATTATTATAACAACACTAATTATTATAACAACACTAATTGTTATAACACTAATTGTTATAACAACACTAATTATTATAACACTAATTGTTATAAGAACACTAATTGTTATAACAACACTAATTGTTATAACAACACTAATTATTATAACAACACTAATTATTATAACACCACTAGTTGTTAAAACACGAATTGTTTAACGACACTAATCGTTATACCAACACTAATTATTATAACAACACTAATTATTATAACAACACTAACAACACTAATTATTGTAACAACACTAATTATTATAACACTTATTATTATAACAACACTAATTGTTATAACAACACTCGTACAACATCAGAGTTGCAGCAGCGCCACATTAAATACGCACTACTACAATGACAACAAAAGTTTAATAGTTTACAGCGAACTGAAATAAAGTTTAATTTTCAAAATGTAAATATGGTTTTGGGGGCGGGCGGGGGGAAGGCAGAGCTTTGTGACGTCATATTTGAGGGGGGGGGTGGTCTGACTTTACGTGACGCCGTGTGACGAGGGGGGGGGCGGGGTCAAAATCGCGTGACGTCATTTATGGACGGACCCCCCCAAGCACGTCCTGGGCCACCCTAAAGCTCTCCCCCGCATCGCCTCGAGCAGAACGTTTGGGGGTGTTCGCAGGTCCTACAAAGGCCGGCACGCGTGGCACACGAGGGGGTGGGTGGCCAGCACCACGCCCGGCCGCCTTTGTCTCCCCGCCAGCGATGTTTTTACACGCAGCACCATGTAACTCATTTGAGGCTGAGTCGACCTAGGGGGGAGGCCCAGTAACCGGTTCAGAGACGCGTCACCGGCGGTGTCGGCCGTGAGCGGGAATCGAACCAGGGTGGGCAGGTTCGCAGCGCGCCACGGCGGTTGTGCCAGGCTAGGTGCACTTTGAGGACACGTGAAGTGTCGAAGGAGGTCACAGGCCAGACCCAGCAGGTGCCACGGGTTGACTGCTGTGCCAGGATAGGTGCACGAGGAAGTGGTCACGGGACGGACCCATATTCTCACACAGAGAGCCACAGACTCACATAGAGACCCATAGGCTCACAGAGAGACCCACAGACTCACAAGGAGATCCATAGACTCACACAGAGACCCACAGACTCACACAGAGACCCACAGACTCACACAGAGACCCATAAACTCACACAGAGACCCAGAGACTCGCACAGAAACCCACAGACTCACACAGAGACCCATAGACTCGCACAGAGACCCACAGACTCACACAGAGACCCACAGACTCACACCGAGACCCATAGAATCACACAGAGACCCACAGACTCACATAGAGACCCATAGGCTCACAGAAAGTCCGACAGACTCACACAGAGATCCATAGACTCACAGAGAGACCCACAGACTCACACAGAGATCCATAGACTCACATAGAGACCCACGGACTCACACAGAGACCCAAAGACTCACACAGAGACCCATAGACTCACACAGAGACCCAGAGACTCGCACAGAAACCCACAGACTCACACAGAGACCCATAGACTTACACAGAGACCCGTAGGCTCACACAGAGACCCACAGACTCACACAGAGACCCATAGACTCACACAGAGACCCACAGACTCACACAGAGACCCACAGACTCACACAGCGATCCACAGACTCACAAAGAGATCCATAGACTCACACAGAGACCCACAGACTCACACAGAGACCCACAGACTCACACAGAGACCCATAGAATCACACAGACACCCATAGACTCACATAGAGACCCATAGGCTCACAGAGAGTCCCACAGACTCACACAGAGATCCATAGACTCACAGAGAGACCCACAGACTCACACAGAGATCCATAGACTCACATAGAGACCCACAGACTCACACAGAGACCCAAAGACTCACACAGAGACCCATAGACTCACACAGAGACCCAGAGACTCGCACGGAAACCCACAGACTCACACAGAGACCCATAGGCTCACACAGAGACCCAAAGACACACACAGAGACATAAGGCTCACACAGAGACCCACAGACTCACACAGAGACCTATAGACTCACACAGAGACCCATAGACTCACACAGAGACCCATAGACTC